TAATTTGAGGTTGGGAAACAGGAAAAAGTCACACGGTGCAAGATCAGGTGAATACGGTGGCTGTTCGATGGTATTTATTGAATGTTTGGCCTTAAAATCGTTGATAATGTTGAACAAATTGAGGTGAATCGGAACAAGCCGGGCGTTGACACGTCGCATACACAAATTGTCCACCAAAATCAAACGAGCCATCTCACGACCGATGCCTAGCTCTCGTGCTATCTCTCTAACACTCACATGAGGATTTTTGAACACGATTTCCTTTGCCTTTTCAATGTTTTCGTCGGTGGTAGAGGTCGAAGGTCGTCCAGAACGCGGCATGTCTTCGACGGTCGTACGACAGTCCTGAAAGGCTTTGTACCACTCATAAACTTGAGTTTTCGATAAAACTGATTCCCCATAAGCCTTTTGTAGCATTCGCAACGATTCTGCACACGAAATTTCGTTCGAAAAACAAAATTTGATGCAAACTCTTTGTTCAATATTTTTTTCCATTGTTTTTTTCGCAACGCACTACTGAGGTGAACTGGTTTCAACAGCTGCCGTAAACGAACTGTCCGACAGATCGCGCTCATTTTTGGCATAGTAATTAAGGACAGTGCTGCCAAACTACATAAACTTAAAATATCGAAAAATATACAGCGCGCGAATTTTAAATGAGAACCTCCGAAAACCTTTCGGTCACAATGTATTTTAGGCTCTGTAGTAAATAGAATGAGAATCTAGAACACATATTAGCAGTTGACACGTAGAACACGTGTTATGTTCATTTAACTTGATACATTAATGAGAGAAATATCTAAAGGAGTATCTAATGAGAAATGAGGAAAATAGTCTAGATAAAATCCTTTTAATAAAACCACTATTCGTCGAAATTGGGTTAAGAGCAATAAAACAGACGGTATTATGATCACAATGCAAGTTCCTTTAAATAATAATAATAAATATGTTCTAATATCTTTTTAAACATTAAATTTGTACAAGTTTTATGAATATTTTATTATTTCAGAGATGAAAACTATCAGAGAGTTTAGAAGTGTTCTCCTTTTTCATACTTCACTAAAAGTAGAAATTACCATTTGAACATAAATAACGCATTCGATTAAATTTGCTTTTATAATATTAAACTTAAATATTAACTGTAGATACTCTTAAGAAGCTTGTTTAGTGGAACTCAAATAAAACGTTTATAGTTTTCTAAAGTGTACTTGGATTCTTTTAATCGTACGCCAGCTTAGATACTTCTAATCAGCTGTCATCATCACGTCACATTGTTGCAAATTCATTTCCACTGCAATGATTTCAGAGATGCTGGCACGTATCAGACATCAAGCGAAATATCTTTATTGCCAGATTCAGTAATGAGTACGGTGGTATTAAGCATGAACCAAGTAAACTGGCATCCAGGCGATGAACCACACAGCTTCATAACAGCCACTGAAGTCTACTTGCCTTTGCTACATCTTTGCTTTCGCATTGTTAGTCATTGTTTCTTAGTGGTCGTTCTTTGGCACGTTTGTAGTGTTGCTTAATCTGAAATGTTGCATCTGTCCAGAGCACAACGTACCATCTTGCCTCTATGCTCCTCGTACTTTGTAAGCTTGCACGTGAATCTATCTGTGTTCATACATATTAACTTGCCGGTCGTGTTATATGTCAGCTTATATACTTGTATCTGTATCTGTATTTCAAGCGATATTGTATCTTATGTCATATTAAAAGTTCGTAGCATTATTGCACATTTTCTATTATTTTTGCTAACAAAAGCTTTGATTTGATTTTCTCATTAAAAACCGATTTTCACTTTGGTTGCCAATATTCTTTTTAATTTTTCCAAGCATATCTTCTTTTCCTACCATTCCACATTTTTCAAATTATTGTTTTCTGTATTTTTCCACATATCCTCATCCCGGTTGCTATGCCAATTATTGACTTAAGCAAGCATATTGCACAATTCCTAAGTACTTCAATGCTGCCAATTTAGAGCTAAGTTGATGCAGTGGCTCTGTGGTGTGGTCAGGGGCAGAATATACACAATACAAAAGCTAATTATGTGCTTAGTTGCAGCAAAATAATCACTGTGCCACCACAAGCACCGCAAACACACAAGCCCAAACGAATTAAGGCAAACATTGACAAAATTTGAACTGAAGAATTTTTCCATTTGGTTTACTTTCTTTGTTTGGTTTGACTTTGGAACAAAATTAATTGATTAATTTCAAGCAATGCAGCTCCTCTAGCTTCCGTATTTGGTGCTGTAGGAACATGCGTCCGGTGCAATAATCATCCCAACTGTTCAAATACATTCATCAAAATCAGTTTCAATGAAACTGATATTGTAGTTCCATCAGTTTTTCATTTTCGTAATTGCAATTGCATCCTCTATTTCGATATTCCACAACTTTATTGTTGTTAATTGGATACGAGTATCTTTCAGTTTGAATTTTTGGTTTTAATCTTTCTTTAATCCAAGTTTTTGTAGTATTTGGTTCAAAAAATAGGTTTAAAACAAATTTAAAAAAAATTTTTTTTAAATGTCTTTGGTAACTTTTAAATTAATTGAGTGCATTGTTAAGATCGCATATGCTGTTTCTGATTACATTAAACTAAGATAAATAGCTGTATTACTAATATTGTTCGAATAAATAACAGACACAATGAAAATAATAATAATCGTCTCTAACAAGCAGCTTGGTATCTAACCTCACTTTCAGCCATCTCTAAACTATCAGGTGTTCATGACAACTGGCATGGACAGTTTTATTACGTCACCCATACCGTGTTTTGCCAATTCCTCAAAGTAAAAACCCCCCAAGAAGTTCACATTGTCCTTGTCTGAAGAGAGCAGAACACTTGCATAATAAATGTATTACTAATATTGTTCGAATAAATAACAGACACACTGAAAATAATAATAATGGAAGTCTCTAACAAGGAGCTTGGTATCTAACCTCACTTTCAGCCATCTCTAAACTATCAGGTTTCCATAACAACTGGCATGGACAGTTTTATTATGTCACCCATGCCGTGTTTTGCTAATTCCTCAAAGTAAAAACCCCCCAAGAAGTTCACGTTGTCCTTGTCTGAAGAGAGCAGAACACTGGCATAATAAATGTATTACTAATATTGTTCGAATCAATAACAGACACACTGAAAATAATAATAATGGAAGTCTCTAACAAGGAGCTTGGTATCTAATCTCACTTTCAGCCATCTCTAAACTATCAGGTTTCCATAACAACTGGCATGGACTAGACAGATTAGACAGTTTTCTACATGGTTCATCCTGATAACTTCTAAAGAGTCTCTGTTGGGAGCGTCTAATATCTTAGTAGGTATACATACCAAGCAATGACCTGTAATTACGAAAGTTTATTTCTAAAAATCAAACCAAAGATGAACATAGTTTCCACTTTTTTAATATATAACTACTATTAATTTATTATTAGTACGCTTAGAATGTTGGCCTATACCTTTGCTTTTAATGTACTGGTTATTACTGGAAAGATATTATACTGAGATAAGATGATAGTTTATAAAATATTATACTGTAAACAATTGTGTATCTGCTTTAAGTATGGTTCTAACTTTAAGTATGTTCAGTGTAGAATTATTAAGTAGATTTATTTTATTAATTTAATTATATTTATCGGTTTATATTTTATATAAACTTTTATCATTTCTATGTATTTGTGTATAACTTCAAATCTTAAGGAAGAACGTTTACTATATGTTTTAGTGCAATGTTTTGAAAAATCCGAAGGAGTTTTATTATTATTTTCGTAAAATATAAAATGTAAATTTCATTAACTGCAATTTTATGTAGTCATCAATTAGTATTAATCTATTCACCACTTTTAAATTAATATTTGTTGATATTATAATTATTATAAAGTTTTTATAATAGTCTTAACTCTCTAAGCATATTATATTACAATTCTTATATATATATACCATAACAATACAACATATATTTAATATGTAATCATAAATATCAAATAAATAAATGTATTAATTAATTATAATCTAGCACTAAAACTAATTTAATTAACGATAAGCAAAAATTTATAAATTATAAGGTTGATTTATCTAATATTACATATTATTACTCTATATTAAAATAAAAAAGGTGATACATAAATAATATGTATTTATATATGTATATATATGTAATATATACATTACTAATTTGTACTTCCAAAACTTCTAACATAAATTAACTGAAAGAAAATGTAAATTATGTAGGCTCTTACCACTTTCTAAAAAGAATAAATTTCTTATAGAGAGTAATAGAGTGATAAGTAGGAATATCCTTTCATTTGGACTATGTGCTTATTAAATGCTGTTCCATGTAAATGAAGTCTTCCAGTATTGAATAAATTCCTTTCACACAGTGACTAAATGTGCCTCGGTATGGAATAAGGATATTAGTAACAAAGACGGTTTATGGCCGAAGTTGTCAAAGCGTTAAACTTTTTTCCTTTAATTACTTTACATAAATTTGACTTTGGCTTTGAATACTCTTCCTTACCAAAAAGTGGAGTAAGTTTCATCAAACAACAGAGAGTAGACAGTAGACTCTATGCAATTAACTCCAGCTCGAGGCCAATGTTGTTAATATTCAAAAAAGAAATTTTGGATTTTATTTGTATTTCTTCTATTTTTTAGGATGACGGAGTCAAAAGTATTTTTTAATTACTCCAACTCTATTTGAATTTTGCATATAAGCATGCAAGTTTGGCTTCAATTAATACTAATGAAATACTTTGCTTTTGAACAAGTTTACAATTTTCTAATATAAATTTGTTTCAAAACATTTTTTTAAATTATTTTCCCAATTCATAAACCGATGGATATTTTTTTTTTTGAAGTTTTAGAAGTTTACAGCAACTACTTAAGTACTTCCATTGAAGTTAAGGCACTTTTTTATAACACATTTCATTTTAATATATGCCGAAGTGTTAGAATGTTAATGTTGATTGAAATATATACTTTGACTGTCAGTCAAACCATTCATCTTCTTGTATAATTTCCTCTTCGCTCGGATAGTTTTCATCACTTCTGGAAAAATGATTAAATACCATATCACCATTATTGTGCCCATCACAGCCATGATGTATCATATCATCACCATAATCATGCTCTTCGTGTCCATAACCACCTCCTTTCCCATAATCCTCTTGTTCACCATGACCATGTTCACCACCATGACCACCGCCACTATGACCACCACCGCCGTGACCACCACCACCATGTCCACCTCCTCCGTGACCACCACCGTGGCCACCACCACCATGTCCACCTCCTCCGTGACCACCACCATGGCCGCCATATCCACCACCACCATGTCCGCCATGTCCACCACCACCGTGTCCCCCACCGTAACCTCCATATCCTAATATTTTGTAAACAGTTTGCTTGGGTGCACCACTGCGTATGAGCGAGTAAAGCGTGTGTGTGTGATGATGTTTTAATACCTTAATGGGTACGTGTATGACAAAGCGTTTACGCGGTCGTCGTCCCTCGCAGTTTAAGGGCAAAGTCACTGAAGTTAACAATATAATATATATTGTGAATTTGACATATTTTGTTTCAGCCTGTAATATATTTCATTTACTATACATTTAAATTTTTTTCACATTATCCTTTAAACTCACTTTTATTTTAAACATTACAGCTTCAGTACACAACTTCAGTATCACAACTTGACTTTATTGCACTCTAAATGTTCATAACGAACTGCTAAACATTTCTATATGTTTCCACCTTTTTATGAAATTTTTAAAACTGTTCCCATTTCCCACCAGCACATCATGCATACTCTAAGTCTTTGAAGGTAATCATCAATTCAGTTTCAGTCTGCAATATTGCTTCCAATAAGTCTGTCTATTCAACCAATTGGCAACAAGTTCACTGGCCGCCAGCAATCTAAGAGTATCTGCCACAATACATGGAATTCGACATCTGTACTCTTCTCCTTCTCCTTCTACTTCGCTTCCATCTATCTTCTGTCTATCCATCTATGATATTGTTTTTTGTTACTTTTTTTGTTTTTAATTATGTACTACAATATCAACTCTATAATCATTACTATCAGTACACACACACACACGCACACACACACACACACAAAGCAATGTCAGTAGCATTATCCAGTATCAGTTTACGTACACATATAGGCAGATCAATATTCATGCCCCAACGTTGAAAAAGATACAAGATGCAATTAATGAATATGCACATTGTTGCTTATTTACATACGTTTTACTCATTTTATTTACTTTTTATTGTTATTCATATTTTTCTGCTTTTTAACTTTAAAGCTTTAATGGTGCATATGTTCACTACACGGATAGTATGTATGAATGAAAAGGTTTCAAATTAAAGATTCACTTTCCGTTTTTATTTGAAATACAGTTTTACGTGCAGCTACAAGATACTCTATCTTAAACGTTGCTTCCGTTTTAAATTAAGAGGCACGTGTGGAAGATTGCCTCGAAATGGACGATTGCATGTGCTACACTTTTTCATATTTAAGGAACTTTAGTGATGTTTACTGAAATACTCCGGTTTATGTGGGCCTTTTTGAATTTGTACTTTTTACAGTTGCCAAAAATGGCTATCAGATGTTTGGGAAAAACGAAATAAGGTGCAAGTGAAATGGTCAATTTTTGTGGATAAGTTACTGGTATAATAAAAATTTATATTTCATAGTGGGAAATATGATTATATATTTCATACGAGTATATATGAACTCAAGAAATGAGGCTGCATTTTAAAGTGTTTTGATTTACATATATAATAATTGAGTTTACAAGGAAGCAAAGCTATTAGCATTGTGTAAGAAGAATATACATACTCTTATAAGGTGGCGCAATAGTTGTCTCCGAGTCTACCATATGTATTGATGTTCCAATCCACACTGAATTCTGTAACTAAGGTCAGAATATAAATGACAGAATATATCTATAAATAGCACCAAAAACATTTTTTTATTAAAATCTTTTTATATGGCTATATACAAAATATAATAAGAAACACTATTGAACCCTTCGGTCAAATTTACACTATTTTTAATATATATTATTAATATCAGTAACAAACCAATTTGGTATGTAATTACAATATTTCCTAACATATCCCTTGGCTATTGTGCTACATGCAATGATTGGCGCAAACACATTTTATCTGAGGCATACGTTGGTTGGTTGCAGTTGCAGGTCAATATGCGATTTTTTCCCTCAATTGCTACTGCATTGCTCACAAGATAACTCACAAGATTTAGATAACTCAATAGGTCTTTCGTCCTTACTGTTGAACAGTTTGACACGGTGTCAAAAAAATATTTCTCTAAAAACCTATTTCTTTTCGGATCCAGAGCCGGATATGCAAAGACAAAATTATTAATAGTTTCTTTTTCCTGTTTAAACAACTTTTTCAATGAGCATTAAAAGGGATTAGTAGTTTCTCTTCGTGGTTTCCTATACACCAGTGACTAAAGCGATATAGTAGTATATGCCTAGTAAAAAAATAAATGAATTGTAAGCAAATGAATATATTCAAACAAAATTAAGTTCAGATTTAAAAGCAAATGGACTATCTATGTACAATGAAAATCAAATGTTGTTGTTTGTGCTATATACTTCCCTTACTTCTATTGAATTACATATCACACCACCAACAACCTATTGATATTTGCGTTATATGAATGAGTTTACGAATAGCAAGCAAATAATTGAATTTCGAATATATGAATACTTGATCCTGAAAGCAAAAAAAAATCTGTATCGCAGTTTGACATAAGGAAGTTGAAAAAATAATTATTCAAGTATGAACTTGTATCTTATCTTAGAGTAATTAAGGTGTTCAGGTAGGAACATTCTTAATGATCTTAGATTACTTATTTAAATACGTACCACGCACATATATTTTATTACATCATTGTAATTAGTGTTAATTTAGACGCATGTGTCGCAACAGATATTTCATTCTATCATTGTATTAAGTATTTATTTAGGCACATACGCCGCAATGAAACAGCATGTAGCATAGGCTACAAAAGTAGACTAAATAAAGCAGTGTTTTACATCTATTCATCGTGTATAGAACCATTTTATACAATAATAATAAATGTTGTTTTAATTTAATCAATTATTTACACCGTTTGAGTTTTTATGAGTAAATTAAATTCAATTTTTGTAATTTTGATAGAAGTTATTTTATTTAAAAATTGCTAGTAACTTTTTTAACTAATTTGATTACAAATCTTTTAACATTTTTTTTGCTAAAATTATTATTTTTCATAGGTCTTGGTACTCCTTAGCTAACTTTGTAATCCAGCTACAGTTTTATTAGGCAATCAAATAGCCACAGCCTGATCAATCATAAAGAATAGAACAATTCCAAGAGCGGCTGCCAAAGCGAAAAGCAACAATTTGTTAGGGAAACGTGCTCTCACCTTGAGGCAGGCAAATAACTCAAAATTTATATTAAAAACGGCAGCTTTCACGCCTTTCTGTTACGCGTCGCGTCTTTCATGGCGAAATGAAGAAACATTTAATAAAATATTATTTTCTTTTTTATGTAAAATTATTATGGAATATTCATATTAGCTGCCGAACATTTTCAGTTCTTAACTTTTATGTTGTAAAATAAACAAAACCTGTGCCTTGAACTCGTTTAATCTCGTGTAAAATCATTTCGTCCTCCCACTTTGGAAGCAAGAAGAAACTTAGAACATCCCCGATAAATGAGTTTTTCATGGATTCGAGTGCTATGGGGCGTTTTTCTCATAATCGTAAAAACTAAAAAACTCCAATTACACATACAAATATATCTATACCTATATCCATACATCCATACATCTTCGCTCGTAAAGACCGCTTACCACTGAAAACGATACTCGTGCAAATGTTGTGCTTGTGTGCGTGTGCAGCATTAAAATAATTTAAAGCACCCAGGCTGGAGCATGAAGAAGCTGAGCTTCCGCATCTGCACATGAATGGCTGAAGATATAGAAAACTAGAGGCAAACACGATAATAAATGAACTAATAAACGTAAATTTTCTTTTCCAACAAATTGTGCTTCATAATAAAATATTAATAAAAAATATTATATATATTATATGTAAGTACGAATATGCATACTTATATACAATATATAAGATATATAGAGGTATAAAAAATTTTTAATGTTTGCTTCCATCGAAAATGGGAAAATTATTAAAAACGAAATTATCCACAAAAGTGTTAATTTAAATTAATCTGTTTTTAATTGAGTTTGATTAAAATTAATTTTATTGTGCAATAAATTATGGAAGCTAAATTAATTGCTGCAGGAAATTTCACACGTCTGTGTTGCACAAAATGGAGCAGCAACAATTTGTTTATAGACAATGTTTTTAATTACAGTTATTACCAAGGGAAACCGATTACATTAAGTATTTGTGCATATTGAACCCGACAACAATAGTAACAATAACAATAACAATAACAACTTAAGCTTTTGTTGTTATCGCAGCGATTTTAGAGTTTCAGATTCATAAAACCTTAAGCAGCCATTAAGTATTTTTACAACCGTAGAGCTGAGCCATGAAAATGAAAGCTTCTTACTCAAATTGCAGCTTCGATGGCAATAGACGTGAGCGGCGCATTATTGACGTACCGATATGGTCTTTGTTTGAAGTTCTCTAATCTCGAAGTGTATCTATGCATTGTTAATTTTAGTAGCGTGCCATTTTATTAGTAAATTCTTGCTGCTACATTCGTTTCGGTTTTAGTGCAGCTTCATAAAATTTTATAGTCGCAAGAACATTTTCTATGTAAACTCATTTTGTTTTTTTCTATTTCAAGCAGCAAGTAGCAAGTAGCGAGTAGCGAGTAACGAAAAGGAATTAAACTAGTAGCGCGGCCTCAAACTCCGGTTGAATGTGCAACCGGTGTGGTCCAGATAAGTACATAATTACAATCTGTGCACAGAAGTCGATTGTTTTAGGCAATCGTTGTATTAGATTTGGATTGTTCTGTTCTGTTCTGTTCTTTTTATTCTCAGCATTAAAAGAAGGCAGTAATTGAAAATAATTTCGACTATTAAGGAGATTTCTTTATAGTCTTTTATGTCTGGAAAATCTCTAAATAATACGAGTACATTATCTGTTTCAATATTTATTATTGCATTAGTACAGAATGATACTTTTAAAATAATGATAAGTAATAAAACTATTTTTCATTTCATGTTACATTTCTAAACACAAAATTAATAGACGTTTAAGCTTGTTAACTTAGATACCATACTTAAATAAAGTTTATTCCAGCTAAAGGCCACTCTAACAATGCACTCTTAAGTTAAGCAAATGTAAAGCCACTAAGAGCATTGGCTTTTCTTCCAACCGATCGAAATATAATTATTAAAAATAAAAAGAATATTTTTTCAAATAAATTTTTGTAAGTATGGAAAAATACTACAAAACAAATATCCAAAGCCTAATATTTTAAAATTTACATAAAAAGTCTACATATCGAAATATCTTATTTTATACATCATTTTATTCAACATAATAAAATTAAGTTCTGAAAAAACCGTCATTCTTAAATCACAGTCCGTACTGAAGAGAATGCTTTGGTCTTTCTTTTTTATTGATCGATTGACAAGCTTCGACGACCGCGTGGTAAATACAAAATTATTAACCTTAGCATAGTAGCTCTTAACTCAGGCACCTAACCCTCAAGGCTCTTAAGGAGAGAGGCTCAAGGGGCTGAAGTCTCCCAACAACGACTTTAGTTATATTCGTTTTACTTCTATGATAAAACGCAGTTCATACAGTCATAACAGAAAAATCCCCCTTTAGCCCTTTTTATCTAATACGCTTCATAATCAATTTTTTTTTGTTTTCAATGTTTGATTCGACTGTGTCCGCATGACTAATTGTAAAGGCATATCCGATTTCATTAGAAGTTCAACATCAATACGTCTCAATCTTCGATGCTTAACACCCTACGTACAACTACAGAGGTCCCTCTTTTATGGTACAACACTGATTGTTTACATTAAAATGTGTTATCATCATAACTACACTAAAACTACATATATCCTGAAATCATTCTGGAGCATAGGGCATCCACCACCGATTTAAATCGTATTCTATTAGGAGATTTCTTGTGACATCATTTCAAGTAAATCCGGCATCTGTTTATTCTTTTCTAATTGTTTTCCGCCATGTTCTTGCTGGTGCATCGAGTCGCCGACTACCTTGTGGTTTCCATCGCAATACTTGCCTTGATACATTATTTGCGGGTTGTCAAGATATGTACCTGATTCACGACTATTTGCGTTTTGTTATCTTCGTTGTAACTTGGGGTTGGATTCTCCTCCATAATTCAGTGTTTGATATTCTTTCCGGGCAGCGGATTTTAAGAACTCGACGGAAACGCTTGTAGACAAATGCTTGCAGCTTGTTTTGTATTTTCTTTAAGCTTTACGTGGACCTTTGTTTTTAAATTACACAGTTAATAGCATAAAATTACTTATAACACCAAATTGAAGCTAATGTCCCGCGTTAAGAAACACTGGATTACATCAAACGCTTTAGTCTTGTTCAAAGCCTTGTACATTGTAATTGCTTAGTGTGTAGATTTCTGCCCGGATCGACTCTTTTTTCTCTTCTTAAAGAACAATAACAAAACAAAGCAAAGAAAGCAGACGGCTTGCTAAAAATAGGATCAGTTACTTCTGACAACGTGTGTTCTAATAACCGCCTCTTCTAGCGGTAAAAAAAGAAATACTGTTATCCAACAAATCTGTTACCTTATATTAAATATGTATATAATTCTATTTAGTGTGTGTTAGAATATAATTCACATAATCACTCTTTATTTACTTTAAAACACATCTCTTTACAGGTTTAAATGGACTCTGTTATCTTATTTTCATAAAAAAAATATGTTGTTTCTCTTTTCACTATACTCAGATTTGTGATATTGAATTTCTATTTAGCAATATTTCTTTTTACGAGATCTTTTCTCAAGATCTAATTAATATTAAAAATGATTGAATTATAAATTATAAATTATAATAATATAAATATGTATCTATAAAAAACTTTAAATTAAATTGTGTAAAATTCAACTGTGGTGCTATGTACTTCTCAGGAAGTAATTGATTTATGCTTGCTAAAAGTTGGTCCTTCTATGAAAAACTTCATGTTAGGGCATGCACTAACACGTTCAAACGATTAGATTTGCTATGTTGGGCAATTTGGTCAGCCGCACATATGCAAATACTTTTTACACATAGGAGCAATACCAGCAGATACAGGCTTGAAGCACTCAAACAGATCTGATTGTGCACAGTTCATTGCCAACAAAAGAATTTTTTAAATACTCAAAAAATATAAAACAAAAAAGGATACCAAACAAAGAGTGCCTGTTTGAGACTCCTTCGTTTATTTCTTCCTTTATTCAAAAACGAAAAAAAGAAAAAAACAAATTGTTAAACATTTTACATTTCTGCATTAAAACCGCATTGCATTTTCCGCTTTCTACACCAACCAGAGACCCTCGACAAAAGAAACCATATTATTTCGTCTTTCCATTTCTTGACATATCCTTAACTTGACTGTGTATCTTTAACTACTGGCAACCAAATTAAGTTAACAAAAGGCAAATGTGGTGGTATCGTTGATAAGAGCGTCCAAGCGACAACAGTAAACAATGAAGTTTTCAACTGGAGCGTTGCCATCCGTTTAATCGTACATCATCATTTTCCCATGCCCGCCAATGCCCGTCAATGCCCGCATAAGCCGTAAGCGAAAGGCTCAAGTGCATTTTGATAAATATTTGAATTGAAAAACTCCTTAGTATGCGATAAAAGGACAGAGTGCATAAAAACAAACCAAATGAAATGACAAATTATTAAATAAGAAGAATCAAAACCAAGATAGACCGAAGGAGAAGGAGCACTCAAGGCATCAAACCATTGGTTCATGTAACCAACAACAGAAACAACTACGAAGCAGTGGTGTGTGTGGCATGTAGTATATCTTTACGGAAACGGAAATGAATATGTAATATGAACGCATTTGATTTGCCAAACTTATGAAGAAACTTCAAAGATGAGTTCAAAAATGAAAAAATGGAAAAATTAAATATTTCAAGAGAGGATGAATGAGCATATTTATGTGGTTTTTGGCATGGTTTCGGTAATGGAGCTAAACCGCAATTTCTATTACGATGTTGTCTTCCAATTCTACTACTTTTTCATAATTCATAAATACATCTACGTATATATGATATATCATATATAAATGAAGGCATTTTTAAAATTTCTTCACGAGCTGTCTTCAGCGCTTGTTAGAGCTCGTATATCATCAAAAATGAACCAGATGAGAAAATAAAACAACACTAACAACAGCAACAACAACAACAACAACAACATTGTTAATATCCATAAGATACAGCAGGATGTTGTGTGTTGTATATTGTAAGTTGCCTTAATATGTGTTATGAATGGCATAAATATGGTTATATTATGAAGTAAGGCATGGAAATTTCGGTTGTAATTGGCACATAAAAAAGTTCACTGTTACTTATTTTTTATTATTTTTTTCCCAAACAAAGTTCTAACTTTTATTTTTCTCCATTATATTTAAACGTACAAATGGTTGCGGTATGATTTGTTCGTAATAACACAAGATAATGCTTGCAATAATTAGATCACCATATTAAAAAGTAATAATTTCTATACACATATATTAAATATACTAGTTTGGAAGAGACTACGTAATCCCGGGTGTCGATATACAATTTATTAGAAATTAAAGATATAATAATACCTAGATATAGTAATACCTATGCCCAGCGAGAAACCGTGTGACAAGTAGAATGCCACTTGTGTTCAGCATTAGTAGTTTCCTAGTTCTGACTATTGATCGATTCAGCATGGATTCTTTAACTTTGTCTGCAGGCAATTGTATTATCCCAATCAGTCTGAGCTTCTTTTTACAGCTACTCATTAATTTTAAGTTTGAAAAAGCTTGATGAAGGACCGCAGAATGGTTGTGGCCCAATAAAATATGAGGCCGTCCCTTTTCTGGCCAGTTCATCGCCTTTCTCGTTTTTCTCAAATCCCCTGTGCTCTGAGAACCATATTAAGTGAACCCTGTTCCTTTCAGCAAAGTCTTTGAGAAGTTGAAGGCATTCCCACATTAGTTTTAGGGTCACTCAAGGTGAGCGTAGTGCTAGGGGTGCTGATCTACTGTCAGAGGAAATATATATGTTTTTCCCCATGATGGGTTTTTCTTTATATTCCCTTAGACATAATTCAATTGCATGTACTTCGGCGAAAAAACTGAGTTTTCTTGATTCATACTTGACTCATATTTTCTCTTATGGTTTAACCCCATATACTCCCGCGACTACTATAACTCATCTCTCACAGGCAACTTCATCACAAGAGCACAATCCTTGTTTCCGAGTGGAACTGCTGACTTAATTACTTAGATTACCAGGGTTACCTACTTTGACAAGGGATACTTAAACGTAATGGTAGTGATACCATATTTTAGTAATAGAAATTACAGGTGAAATTCAAGTATACAAGCGATTTTATGATGCCTTCGATTTACTCTCTGATTTCAATGGAATTAACAATGCGTATCCGTTTTTGGCTTCGCATAAAAAACCCGCTCTAGTCTTTTTGGTAAGTTATGCCATTGAGTAAGAATATTATAGAGTCACAATGACTCAATTTTTAAATTTTCAGCAACAGGCACGGGAGGGCGGAGTGAAGATTTTACTTCTTTCTGCGCTGCTGCTAGATCGGTCGCGCTTATGCTTGTTCTTTCTAAAAATTTTACTATTGATGAATGAAGGACAAAAATGAAAACAAAAAACAGATTTGCTTGTTTACGAAGGCAGGCAGTACAAGAAAAGAGTCAAATTAATTTTTGGTGTAATTATTTGTTTTTGCAATTAATGGTTGGCACCAGCAAGCAGCACGTAAAAATTGCATGCATTTAATATCACTTCATAATGCAAATAAGACAATCATCCCTACTTGTTTGGAATTTTACTGACCTTCATATATATATGTATGTATTTTATAAACATATGTACTTTTATTTGGAAGAATATGAATATTTTTTCATCTTAACATATTTTAGGAACATTTGAAGCAAATGAAACCAATCAATTTTTTTGTTTAATCAGGTATAATAAAATAATTGTATGTAATTGACCGTGTGCGAGTTCGAGTAATTGATGGTAAATTGAGGAAAATGATAAATTATGTCCGTATGGCAGCGAATGTTGGTATTTACCAGAATTTCGAGTATGGTAAATAAGGTAAATTTGATAGTACCATTGGGAACATTTTATAAGATGTATAATAAAAAAATAAATAAACTTGAAAACTTTTAACATAAGTGCAGTGCAAAAAACCCTAGGAAATTTTAGTTTACTTTACCATAATTTACCGAGTTGGTTTATTGGGGCCTGCAGACTTCATCGAATTGAATTGCTGGACTTTATTCTGCTTATTTTACTTCGTAAGCAATTCCTTTGGAAGGTAGAGAAAGTGAAATCGACTAAGGCATAAATTGTTATATGACCTTATATTACAAATTTGCCCTAATACAGGCTTAAAAACATCTATTTATAATTTATTTATTACCATAACTACTTACTTTATTTATTTATTTTGTTCAATATACATAGTTTAAGTGAATTAATTTTAAGATAGTTATTAATAAACATGTGTTAATAAATATGTATAAAAATGTAAATATTAATATTTATTACGTAGAAACTTTCGCTATTTTTTATGGTTATTCACTGGATATTGATCAATTTATAATTTTTTGTGTTAATATACATTAATATTTTAAACAAAGCAATTTATACATATAAACAATAAAAAATAATGTATCATATATATATCTAATAACGGCAAGAACTAACAAATGTGTTCTCATATTGGTGGTGGTATTCCTCTATTCCTGAGCGTTGTTTGTTGTCGTTTTGTCATTGGGCCTTGTTGTGGTAGGATTTTAGGCAGGTTTAGGAGTATTTTCGGAAAATCTTCTGCAGGTTGTTTTCTTTCTTCTTTTTTACCATTCTATTTTCCAATTATTTATGTGTGATAATATATTTTTTTATCATTTATATGCAAAAAATCTTTTTGTCGATAATACTAATGTATGTATATTAATATAAAAAACTAAAGTTCTTCAAATTCTTGAGGACGAAATAGAGAACAAATAATAAAAAAAAATTTTGAAATAGTAAAAAAAATCTCTTTTCTATATTATTTTTCTTAAACAAAATTTCTTCGTTAACATGGACTAGGCCTCCTGGGGACACCATGTAAAAAAAACGCGCGATGCATTATACCTTAAAGGTGGTCTGGAAATTAGTACGCAACTAGAACATGAAAATTGTCACTTCTATTTAATTAACGATAACTTTTCATGTATGTCGATCTAGTAACTATAAATGATTATGCAGTTATTTAAATAAATCTCCATTTCTCGGCAATTATTCGCTTGCAAAAGCTAATAGTCGATACACTTGTACCCCTTGTACTGATGTTCCGTTTATACTTATTCAGTATCTTTTAAGTGCATATATATGTAAAACAGCGTTAACTATTCAAACTGCCATATAAACTGAAGGTTTAATCTTAAATCGATTTCTATATAATTTTATTGTAATACATTTGGCAAAGCTAAATCATACTATTTTTAAAAAATGTTTTACTAATTATTGGTAATTATTTTATATACATATGTGTTCTTATGATTGTATTACTTCCTAAGATTTAATATAAATATTATGTAAATACGATAAAATTAAAAATCCATACTTAATAACAATTAATTACGAAAACAATTATAACTCTTTCTTTAAATGCCATCATAATGAAAAATTGTTTCAATGCTGCAAATAAAATTTTGATATCTCTTGCCCCCGAAATTACATACAAAAATATCAATGTCCATATGTTCATATTTAAACACAAAGCAAGTAGGCATGAATGAATATAAAATAGCGAATAATTCTTTTTACTACTTACATTATAATTCAAGAAAGCAATAACAACACCTCAAAGAGCAAAAGGAGAAAAAAACACAAAAAAGAAATATAAAAATTTCTTGAAGCTATGAAGCAGAGAATATTGCAAAATCTTCTTTGGTATGAAGCAAAAACGACTGAAGCGACGTCGGCAGAGATTTGAGTGATTTAGGTACCCAGTAGTAGATACCTAGAACAAAAATTAATTTCTATGGCATTGTGACTCTATAATATTTTTACTCAATGGTTATGCGCATTCTCTTTGAAAACTGCTCTAATATATGAGGATTCTTATATGTGATAGAACATTTAACTTTATTTTTATAGATGTGATAATAAAATATATATTGATATATTGATTGATAGTATAATGTATTGAAATTGAAGGCAAACTGTTAAATTCGTACAACGTTTTTCATGTCCAGAATTTTTGCAATGTTAAATATTTTCTTATATATCTAAAAATCCCTTTAATATGTAGTCTTTAGTCTTTTGTCTGATGTTCACTCAAAATTGCATATAGCTAATTAGAAACAGAGGAAGAGAACTCCTTATGATCCCCTAGCAGTAGCTAAAGTAGATCTGCCTCCAAACAGGTAGTGTTTACTTATCCAGCAATATTTTGAAACTAATTTGTGAATTTAATTTATTTCAAAGTTTCTTTCATAAACTAAATATAAAGTATTTATTAGTAGAGAACTTTGCCCTGAGTTTAACATTCCTTTTTCCCTCAGAAAAATCTTCCATTTTGTGTCTTCAACTTTGACTGCCTACTTTTCTTGTACTCCATACGAATAATCTCACACATACTCGTACGATTACGGTAACCTTTGTTTGTATGCGTGTTTTCGAAAGTATGCGGAAAATCCTTGCAATATTAAAATTTCATTGTAGGAAATTTTTGTGTTGTTGCTCCTGTTATGTTCAGCAACAACAATAAAACAAAAAGCCCTTTAGGGACGTTTACATTTCACTTTTAACTTGCGATGTGCTGTGAATGGGTAGCCGGCATCATGCGAATGTGCATGGGAACGTGTGCGATGATGGAGTTGGAGAAGGATCAATGGCATCTAAATCTTGTACTTTTTTGACATTTTTATGCTTTTGATACATAACAGAGATATTTCATTACTTTTAATTTAAAATTGATTTAAAGGATTTCTCCTTGTTCCTCCTTGTATGGTAGATTAACACGCTTCAATATGTTGCAATTTTAGGAGTCTTAAGACAAAAGTTTTAAATAAAAATTTTAATAGCATTCATTTTCATTTAATTTTATTCAATTTGAGAATATTTATGTTATATCATTAAAAAGAGTGGAACGGATAATCTAATAATCAGGTTTTTATAAAATAATTAAAAAAATATACAAGAAATTCCTATTTTTGCATAATTTATTTTAGCTGGAATTTATTAAAAGTCGAAAATCACAAAGCCCGATGAAGAAGTTTTGAAAGAATAATCAAAAAGTAACTACTTCAAGTCCTTTGCACTACAAACTACAATCATTAAAATAAAAGTTTAAAGTAGTCTAAAAAAAAATATGAGTGAAATAAAATAAAATTGACAGCTAAAAGTGAAGAAGCGACAACATTTTGTTATCGTGATATACCTTCTGCTCAAAAAGTACTCGGATTTTGTAAATAAAACACACAAATTTAAATTTTATTCCAAATTTATTTCATCTCCTTCAAAATATGCTCCAACTGAAGCGATACACATATGCCAACGGTTAACCCAATCTTCCATACACTTTTCGTAGGCCCGTGAAGGTATGGCTTTTAGTTCCTTCAGCGAATTCTCTTTTACCGATTCAATCGACTCAAAACGTTTACCACGAAGGGGCAATTTGAGTTTCGGGAACAGGAAAAAGTCGCACGGATCCAGATATATCCAGAATATGGTGCTTGAGCGATGACAGTGGTGCCGTGTTTGGTCAAAAAATCGCGTACAACAAGAATTTTCCATAGTAAAAATCGCTAAATGCACTTGAGGTAGTCTCACATTAACAGTTGCTGTAAACAAACTAATTGACAGATGGCGCTCAAATTTGTAACATATGTCAAGAAAGGGTGTACCGACATAACAAATTACTTCTCCTTAAGTAATATACCTTTTAACAAACAACAAAATCTGGATACTTTTTGAGCAGAAGGTTAAAACAAGATTAAAATTCATAAGTATATATATTATGTTGTTGATGGCTTCCAAATTGAACATAAATCTTATTTTTTTAAATCCATTTTCTACTATAGTACGCTGTTGATATGCTTATTCTGTAGCTGATTTGGTACTCAGACCCAATATAAGGAAAAAGTAAAGTATATCACGAAGAAAATAGGAGTCTTACTGTCTTATTGTTTACACTGCGTTTAATTACATTAATTTAGCTTTGCTTCATTAACTAATTACTTAACTATAAATTTAGTCTATCTTTTTTGTGAACACAATTTCCGAATAATAAATAGTGTTTTATCATTTTTATATTCATAGCGTAATTGTTATTTATTCAATTTGCATATATACATTTATCTTAGTTTTTTATGTTATTACCCATATTCCAAATTTATGATTGCGTTTATTTTGGGTGAAGCCTTTATGCCTTCCCACTTACACAGAAACTTTCATTATCACTCACTAGTGCTGTGGAAAACTTAAATTAGCAACTTGTGGGCTCACGAGCTTTTCACGTTACTTTCCCCCAAAATATCTGGATCCGCACATAACTAATTCCATTAGTTCGTTTATTCACTATAGGTCGACACCGTATCCGCCGTATAACTGTTGGATTTATTTATATTAACTTTTGTGCCGAAATATTCCATATTCTCTATATTTTTATTGCCAACTTTTATTTTGTTTATTCGCCTGCTTTTCCATCTGTCTGTTTGTGATATTCCGAGTTTGGCTTGTTCAAATAGAGAAACTTTGCAGAAGTTACAACAATTTCGCATGCATTTTACGATTGCCATTTCAACGTGATACTAACTATGATTTTGTTGGGCAAACACTCATAAAAGTTTATCACAAAAACTTATTTATTACGAGAATATCGCACATTGTTAAGGGCGACCCATGTTGATGCAATGTTGAAGATGTTCCAAATAATCATAAAAATTAAGTTATGCAGTTATTTTGGACTTAATTGCCAGTGTCCCACTAACGTTTCTCTATCTTCTGAGCAGATAAATAAAATTCTTTAGTCACTTGTATTATCACAGACAGTCGAAATGTTTCACAGAGTTAGCTTATATTGTAAGAAGTCAGTCACTTGCACAATACTCGTAAAAAGAAAAGAATTTTGTAGCATAATTTTAGATGCAATGTCACTAAATTTAAATGTTGCCAACTTAATTGTTATTGCCGACCATTTAGATTGTCATCTGTTGTTAATTACTTGTTTTTATGCTTGTTTATGTAGATTTTAGAAAACAAATCTTCTTTTCAGTTTTAAAAATTCTTTTAATTTATTTTTTAGAGACAATTTAGGGCATTTTTTTAAAAAAATCTTAAAAATGTTTTAGAAAACATAATTTAGCTGCGTTTACACTGTAAACTTAAAAGTAGATTAATGTGCTTATAGCTCTATAGTAGTTGTTGAATTGTCTTTACCATATATTTAGATGCATCTTGTATGGATTTTATATAAAAAAGGCACATATTGCTGTATTTATATCGAGTTAAGTCCAATACTCTTAATATTATCATTACCCTTCTGATAATAGAAGGTCCTCAAGGTTGATATTCTGGTTTTTATTCGGAAGGCGGAATGTCTTCTGTTCGGTTAGGGTCTATTGTTGCACAAAAGATCAACCATGATCCGTTAGAAGGTGGTACCATATTTATTTCTAATTCTAAAATATTATTTATTATTAGTTTATAACTAATATATTATGTTTTATAAATCAACTTATGTATATTTACATAAAATTGCGTGAAAATATCTAATGTACGTGATCGTATCGTCCCTATTCAATAAATTCAGAATTGATTTAAAAAGACTCTGATTACTCAAACTCATTTGGCCAAGATTTAATTTCTGTTACATATTTATTTTTAAATTTATGGTTATTAAGATGCATTAAATGCATTCATAGAATATAAAGCTCATAAAAATGTACTAATATGCCACTCTTCCCCGACTTCCAAATAATTTCCAAGCTTAAGTAGTAAAAGTCAAAATAACAAATTGCTTTTAATAACAAGAAAAATGAAAATGAAAAAAATTGAATCAAATTAAAGTAATTAAAATAAATACATAAAATTCTGACACTTTAAAGAAATTTATGAACTACTTAAGTATTTTATGATAATCTCAAGTGGTTGTTATTTAATGAGAAACGCCCGCTTAAGAACCGCAAATGTTCGTGAATTGCCTTTCAAGCTCTTGAAATGTGCCATTGTGGTTTTGCATCCTTTGAATTTGAATCCAAGAAAAGTGATTATAATATCACAAACATATCATTTATGTTGCTTAAAATATTTTTATGTAAATAGTAAATATTAAAAAAACTTTTATTACAAATAATGAATAAACTACACAATTTCAATTTCTTTTCTCAGCTTGAGACCTCATATCTCATATTGTGATGTTGTATACTAAAAGTCGTAGTAAAATAAGTAACTGACATTCAACCCAAATTGTTATGAATTGTATTTTTATTAAATTTTATAATTAACTTTTTATTTTATAACTCTTATATACTTTACGATTTTAATAAAAACTGCATTTTTGTACTTCCCCCATTTTTATTTGTACACTCGTGCGTGTGTACTTGGATAGCAAAAAACAACAGCAAACTTTAAGTATTATTTTTAAGATTATTTCGAATATAAGATGAGATGAGACTTCATACAGATTTGATGAGCATAGCACTGTCCTTCGTTCTTAGGAAGGAAAGCTGCTTAAGTTAAAAATTCTACGAGTGTCGTCACCATCGTCTTTTATGCCACTTATGATTATTTTTCAGATTTGAAAAGTTTTCAGGGAATTTAAACACCTCGCAGATTTTAATGTTCCAAACTTTATTCTTATTTTTAAAATTCTTAAAAGATTTTATTAAGTTTTTATATTTTCATCGACACCATTAATACAGTTTATTTTGTATAATTTTCAGTTATATAGTCGTAGAAGGTCGAGCAAGTGCTATGTTAATAATGGTAGTCTACTTGTGGTAGAGCGTAGATAAGGCACTTGAAATTTATGATATTTTAGGATTTCTAAATTAAATACTATAATTACTTAAAATCCCTTTAGATTTGTTTAATTCCTTTAAATATTTCTTAGCATTTCTATATTAAACACAATTTGAATTTATAATTTAAAAACGCATATATACTTTTGAATAATTTTTAAATAAACATTTTGAAATTTCTATACAATTTATTTACAATTAATATTAAAGACATAAATTAAAGAAACAATGTTTAAAACTTATAAAGAATATATGTGTTCACATACATAAAGACTGAGTCTTTTCTGTGGATTAGGGCACATAATCCACATAAAAATGAAGGAGAACCAAAACAAAAGGGATTACTTGGATGATCTGCAAGGATTAAAACAGTCTAAATCACTTATTGGTACTTATAACAATGGGAGATGCCAGGATTGTATAAACTTAACAAAAGAAAATCTTAGAATTATCACAAGAATTTTAACAGAACTCTGTAAACTGAAACACCAATTACGAGACTGGTTATAGGTATATACGGATGCAAACTATAGATTCTGCGAACAGAATGAAGAGTCAGTCAAACATGTGCTGTTAGAATGTCTTGCGCTAATGGACAATCGAAATAGACTCTTGGGAATTATAGCCTTACGGAATAGGCAATTAAACTCTATAAAGTAGGTTTTATACTACTCTTTATACTCTTTGGAGATATACTCTAAACCAAGAAGAAGGTTCATTAGACCCAATGGTCACAATGCCATACTCCATATCAATAATAATAATACAAATAGACAAAGTATACTATATATACTTATTATTACACTATATTGCACTATAAGTATAATAAATGCATAAGGAATTGATTTTTGAAATTATTTTTGTAAGAAAATATACAAAATATATATTAACGTTCTGAGCGAATTTCGTTCTTTTTGCATTTATCAAAAATTAAAGACTTCTAATCGTTTCATATAGGAGTATAGCACTCTCTACTTGGATTGAAAAGTTCTCTTCTGACACACTTACAATATAACATTAAAAAATTTGTAGAACATTTTCGGATATGAAACTAATATCTTGTTTGTGCTGTGTTCTGAGTAATCCTCCTGTTTTTTAATTAGTTGTTCAGAGGTCAGAAGTGGTTTTTATCTCGCTAAAAGCATAAAGCGCATAGTAAGATTGTGATCACATAAGTGATCTTTCAAACATATAACTCTAAATATCATTATACACTGTAACTAGTTTGCTTTTTATTATTGGTTTGATAAGAATTGTATCTCGATATAATTGCTTATAATAGAGCGATGGGTGAACCATAGAATGGTTCATCCATCTATATAAATTCATTTATGACAGCTTGAACTGAACCTTATCGTGTTAAAGGCATGTGTAAAAATTTAACTCCGACCGAGGATTCAACTTACGAAAGAAAACATGTGAAGCAACTGCTATGGTCTTAAAATCTTCAGAGTTAGGTTGTACTCCCAAAAAATTTTAAGTCTTAAGTTTCAGTGCAGTTCAATTCAAAAATCAGTGTAGTAGGAATGTTCACTGGAAATATGTTGCAAAAATACAGTCATTCGATAAAATCATATGATAACTTCATTTACTATTTTACCAACTATAATACAATACGCCTGGCCTATAATACTTATTAAGGAATTATGTCATATTAATTATATATGTATGTTATATTATATATAATATATTAATATCTCAAGCTTTGATTCATTTTAGTGTTGGTGTAGTTTAGAACTGAAATGCCCACTGTAACCTTTTCGAACATATTAATTATGTTGAAACTATTTGAGCTAGTGCACTTAAGCACTTTTACTCTTTCTTAACTTGAGGTATTTTTAAAACCCCTTTTTATGTCTTGGCTGGATTATTGTTTATCACTTCATTAGACTAAGCAATAATTGACCTCAGATCTGCACACCTCCCCGAGGAGCCTGTAACCATTCTGAGATTTGATAACATACAATATGAATCTTTTTTTATTTAATATAATATATCTGAATAGTTCAAGCTTTGATCATTTGTAGGGTTAATATAAAAACTGAAATGCCAACAGTGGTCTCGTCAAGTACATATGAAATTTTATTTGTTTGACATTGAGTTTTTCTTTGAGTTGCTGTTGAAAGTAGATAGTCTTTGACTTTGACTGACTTTTTCACCTACAATTTTTTTTCTCTCATTTTCCTAACCATCTTGAGCTATAAAAATTTCATGATCTTCCATTGTTATGCTGCACAATTTTATTATTGATACATTGACGTCTGCGAGAAAGACGCAACTTGTGGATGGCCATTTGTTGCGCAGCCAATGTGGTGTAAATGATCGCGCTAAGGCCCACAAACGCTTTAAGGATGCGATGCTTGCCGTAGCGCTTTCTGCAATTTCAGAAATACCATCACGACTTCCCATTTTATTTGGTAAGGCGAAGATATTGCAAAATATTTTATTGGACACGCTGACTTATTTGAATTAAGTAAGCGTGAAATGTTTAAGTGATCTCATGGTTCTGATATTGAGTATCTGGCCATCTCGCCACGGTTAAATAGTAAAATTTATATTCTGGCTTATACATGCCATGCTCATGCATTCATGTGATACTTCAGTCAATGCGATTCAATTGAAATGTTGATTGTTGTTTGACGTACAAAATGGAATTTTTCAATCATTTTCATATGAACGCGGTGGGTGGGTGCTTTAATAGGTGGTGCCTCAAGAGCGTTGTTATAAATTTGAAACAGTTATTCCAAAGATGAAGAAGATATGATTTTTTCGCTTTATCATTATATAAAGCGTGCATAAAAATTATTAAAACAAAAGTAAAAAATAATTTATGAAGTACTTCTACTTTTATGAAAGATCTGTATGTGAAATAGTTTTAGAAAAAATTCATTTGAATGTATTCCTAACTTTTATTTTATTAAATCTAAATCAATAGATTTTGCCAATCTTTCATATATAGTTATCTCATACCTCATAATATATATTTTCCTTTAAATTTGATTTATATCTTAAAGTAATAAAAAGAATTAAAAGGAATAAGTATGATTAAGAATAAATCCTCTTAAACAGATCATTTTCTTCACTTGTATGTATTTCTTTTGAATTACCATTTTTTAACACTTTTTTTTGACGACTAGAAAAACGAATCGAGTCAAAACATGCACAAATTCCTTCCCCATTCTTTTTGTTACATATGTTCCTGTTGCTTAAATTGTCATGGAAGACATGTCTTTAAGACTGTCTGCAAATAGCATGTACATTACAATACAAATACTTAAACAACGACGTAGTATTTAACTAAATACTCAAACTAACATACATAGTAATAGTATATAAGTAGTAATAATAAAATAATAATAATAACATAAGTATTCATGTTGAACCTTTTCCGAGTTAGTGCATGTGGGCATTTTTACTCTTTGATAGTTAGGGGGTTTCTGCAGAGTTCCACACATCTCACTGACTAATTTGTATATTCCTCATAAGCTTCGTGATTATGCAATAACTGATCTAAGATCTGCGTACCGCCCCTTGTGGTATTATTAATATTAGTAGTAATAGTATATTACTACGTATATTACTAGAAAATATACTGAAACGTAGATGAATGTCTCGTAGTATTACTTCACGAGCACTCATTTCCATATTATATAGGGACTTTATATAAGATATTGAACATATTCCGTCTGCAGACATATACCCAAAATGACTTTATGACATTTTATATATTTGCTCGAAAATAAAGTAGAGGTTATCTAAGTTTTAAGATCTTCAACATTCATCTAGTGTGGCCTCATGGCAAAATAAATCCACAAAGATGCATCTTAAATATTAATCCAAATTTTTTAAAGTAAGTACTTCCAATATCTCACGTATACCTAAACGTTTTTAATTCCTCATTCTAGAAATGCAAAACTTTAATCTGAACAAAAATCATCACGTGCAATGACAAGACTGTAATTTATTGCCAATGCTAATTACAGAATTTATCACCTGAAAGATATTAAAACTCTCTGTGTTTAACTTAGACGAAGTACGGGAAATTACAATTTAATGAAAAATTTATTATACCGCCTTCTTTTTCAACAGAAATTAAGTTTATTGAGATGTTTAATAAAATCTGCGAAAATTTAATGACGTGGGTTAAATTAAAATTAAGATTATCATCATTAAGTGGGATTTTTCTGAACATCTCGTTTAAGTATCTTTCGTTTGATATAAAATTTAATTACTCTAAAAGCCTTAACAATTAAAGAGTTTCAGCAAAAATTTGAAAAAAAATCAAATATTTTGAATGGAAAACTTCGGCATAATTATTTTGTGATTCCTATTCCTTTCTGAAGAACCCTAACAATCTAACAACCCTTGCAAATTAAGTGTGCAATTGCTAAAATATTTCGCAGCTCTAATTTGCGGATTTGCCTTTCCGCTTTCGACTCGCCACTTAAAAATGTTTTTATTTTTGAGTGGCACGTACCTCTGTAATGCCTTTATTAAGCAACCCCAATAATTTTTTATTTTATTCGTAATTTATTAATTCACGTCATTTTTCTTCTGTTTTCCTTATCTTTTATGTTGATCAACATCATCATCGCCGCTATTAGTACGCAATACAAACAATGGCACACGAGCAACAGCGACAACCGGCAATACCTCCAGTGCTACTGCATTTCAAGTGGCAAATCCGTTAGAAAACGCAGCGCAGGAAAGATTTGTACTTCACAGTAACAGCAGCGCTGGCAGCAGTGGCAGCAGTCGGAATAATAACAATCCCAACAATACTACCAACAACCAATTTATTAATCGACCATTGCTGTGCAGGACACCACCGCCAGTTTATAATTCTTTGCCATCAACCCCACCTCCGGTATATACGCCTCGTTGCATAGAGTACACCAATTCAAACGAAAGACAAGTGCGAATAGTACGGGAGTGTAATAGTCAAGAGAACGCTTCAGTACGGGATTATGTTCAAGCAGTTGAATCATCAAATCTGGAACGTAGGCAGTTTGTAGAGCTACATAGCGCAGAGTATGCAGCAAATGGAAGTGAAGCTACTGCATCAACGACACAAGCAACACCAACACAGCAAGCAAACTACCAACAACAGGCACAGCAACACCAATTACTGCAGCAACAGCACTTACGTCGGCGTAGAAGATTGCATTTGTTGCAACAGTTGCAACCACAGTGTTTCCCAATCAGCAGCATCAATAGAGAAGACAGTAGCAGCAGCGACAGCAGTAGTTCCAGCTGTAGTTTCAGCGATAGCGAAACAGAAGTCACAACCAGAAATGAGTCACGCAGAAGAGTACCAATACGTTGTGTGAGAGGAGTACGAGGTAAACCAATAACTAATTAATATTAAAGGTTTTTTTATAGGATTTCTTACCATTCTCTTCATTTATTCTTTCATTGACATTACTTTTTCACGGATTAAGCCATTGTTGTTGTAATGTATAAGTGCGTTTATGCGCAGATATGAATATAAGTAAATATTGGGTCCGCTACGGAGAAAAATAGATCACTGTTGATGATGCTATCGTTGTTGTTATTTTTATTGTGTTTTATTTTAAATGTTCTTGCTTTCGGAACTAATAAATATCAGCAAATATTAGGTTCAGTAATTATTAAATTAATTATTTGTTATGAAAATATATTCATTTTTTTTTTTTGTTTTTTGTGGCAAGGAAGAGTGGAATGCCTACGCACTGCCTACAATCTGACGCCCCGGAAGGTAAGTGCCCGACTCGCACGGACTAAACCACTCTCTCTCATTTCTAGAGAGCTTGTCCTACTCCGCAACTACGTTAGTATTACTTCGAGGTAGGGTCCCTATTAGTCATTTAAGACTTCCATTAGTGTGACCTGCGTCCAGGCTCCGCTACTGTTGCATTTGATTAATCTTGTCCTTAATTTTGGTGTGCTACAGCTATCTTCGGTCAGAGTCTACTTTTTTCAATCTCAGAATGTGTGTCCCGGCTCTCACTCATGATCCGAATTCGAATATAGTCAGATTGCTCTTTGTTTTAGATTAGCTTGCGTCCAGATCTTTCTTCTTTTCCCTTAGCACATTTCCGAAGAATAGTGTGATTTTGTTCCAATTTTCTGCTCGTTCTGTAATTTTTTGTACGATATTCTCGACTGTAATGTGACCTATATATTCTGCAAGTAGTGTTCCGTCTCCATGCCATCTTTCGCAGTTGAAGAAAGTATGCTCAGCATTGTCCTCGACGTATCCGCAGTATATACAGTTGAGCTGCTCTACTTTTTGTATTCTGTATAAATTTATTCGAAAATATCCATGACTAGATAGAAACTGTGTGACATAATAGTCAATCTTGCCGAAATTAGCTTTGCCGTCTATCTTCCTCTTAAATCAGAGTTCCATCGTTGTTGCCAGATCTGAAAAGTTTGTCCTCCTATATCTTGAAGACCTGTTGAGTTGCTTGTCGATCTCTGTTTCAAGCGTTTTCTTCGTTCATGCGCCTGGAGGTCGATAGGGATGATTCCACTATTCACTAGAACTGCTGGTTCGGATACAGTTCGGTATGCAGAAGCTAACCGGATGATACCGGGATGGAATCATCCAATATCAGCTATTACCGCCTGGACAAATGATATTCCGATAAATTCAGATCTCTAAGTAATTAATGCGGTTAAATCAAGAAGTCTTCAGTGAGAAGTTTTGATGTACCCATCAGCATTGTTCTGACATTATATTGTTTTATTAGCTTGATTTGAAATCTATCAAACTCATGCTAGAGTAAAATTGATCTCAAAAGTGGAACATGAAAAATATGTGCGTCAGTTTTTAGAAGAAAAACCTGCAAAATTTTGTAATAAAACAATAATCTGATCTATACCCCATAGAAATTACCGAAAAGAAAGGCAGTATTTGGATTTGATTAAAAATCGCCGAATATTGTTTGTCCAAAATGGAAAATAAACTTGCAATATTTAAGAAATTTTTGTTTAATTCTTTAGACTTTATATGATTAAAAGTATGTAAGTATATAGTCAAAAAATACGATAATGACATATAAAACAATTTATAAATAAAACTAATAACCTTTAACAACAACAAAAAATATTATATATAATTCACAACTAAAAATATTTATTTACTTTTTCAGACGCCTATTGTCCCGATTTGTTGAATGCTTGTTCACTTATACTACATCAGCAACCAACAAGTGATTCTTCTATTGGCAGCTTCACTGATACATTACCTGCATTAAGTCAGTCTTCAGATTACATTGATATTGATGAATTCCGCCCACAGCAAAGAGGCGTATGCAATCAATCTAATCAAAATAGAGATTATGGGCATTTGGCACCAGTTTCACATAGACTACAACACTCAAAAAGCACGCCAGCGTTAAATGCACAGCGTCATGAAATACAGGGTTCATCACAACATGCTGTGCATGCAAAAAGAGGAACTGAAAACGAGCATAGCAATTGTGCACAATTAGATAATAAAGGAATTTCGAGGAACCAAAGAAAAATATCGCAGGAAATGGGTCAAAGTATAAGCCTTAGAAGACCACGCATATCACTGACATGGGTTTTAAGAGAACAACAGCAACAACAACAACAATCGCAGCAAAATGATACAGAATCTGATCCCAAGCCAGAGGAAAAGATCTCAAATAATTTATTACAAACGACTCAAAATAATAATAATGGTTATGCAAATGGACTAGAACTGAAACAAGAGGAAAAACAACAACAAGCACAAGCACAACAACTACAACAAAAAAGAACGGAAGTGGTGCCAACACAATTGGAGCCAACGAAGAAACGGTATCGGATCAAGCAATTGCCTGGCAAATGTCCAGATCCACTTAATGGTTACGCGACTACGCCTACGGCCTACGCTACAGCCACAGTGCCACAAAAATTTTTTAGCAACCAAAATCTGCTGGATTATAGGGAAAAACATCGAGTGACACCATCCAAAGAATTATTGTTTGTATGCACACCCCAACGCTTACCAAAGAGCTATGATAACAGCGAAGCCTTAGCTTTGGCCAAAAAACGAAATGAGATACGTAAAAAATTAGCTGCGAAAATGACAACCGTGCCCACCAACGGTACAACACGTGCAGGAATCAATGCTGAACCGAACTCTACTGTTACCAATGCAGCTAATGGTGTACTGGACAACGATGAGCTCAAGTCATTGAAGGGTACATATTCAGAGCCTAGTTTAATTGCTGCTTCAGAAGGAAATCATCATCGTCGACATCGGCATCGTAAGCGACGTGAACGGACACGCGTTCAAAAGTTCGGCTATGAGATTAGTAACGTTGATGAATTCTTATCGAAATGCTCACTTGCTTCCCCAGGTAACATACCTGTTGTGCTCTCTACTTCCAGTACACTATATCAAACGAGAACTGGAGGTTATCAAGTGGAGATACCTCTTCCATTAGGTATGGTAGTCAATGCAGTTTTCAAAAATCAAAGCTGGCTTTATGTGCAAACACCGCATGCGGAAGAAGGCTATATTGGCTATGCCTGTTGTCTGCCTCTGGGCATATTACCACCTGCTGCACGAGGTATAGGCGAAGGCAGCTCAAAACCTACACCTTGTTGGGAATCCAATTGTGATATATTTCCACGTCCTTGTGGCAATATGACCGATTCAGAAAAAGAAATTCGTTTGCGCGGTGGCACACGTTCTGATGGTGCACGCACACCTCGTGGCAAACGCACAGAAACTAATCGTGAAGCAGACAAAGTAAATGGCAACTTCACACCATATGGTGAACATCAAGTAGACAAATTGTACTTACGTGCCGCTTCACAACCGAAACTAGTCGCTAAAGCATATGCGCAACTAAAGTCAACCAAAAATGCTTCAATACGTACCACAAATGATGAATACGCCACCATACAGCGGCAGAAGTCCAAATCGCATATGGAAAAGCATATGCAACAACAACAACAGCAGTTACAGCAACTGCAACAGAAACAAGTTCTCAAAGGTCCATTCATAACAAATGGTCACAATGGTCAGCACTTACATCCAAAAAATACGCCTGTCTATACGTCGGGTACAGCAAATCCAGTAAACAACACTAATCTGAACGGAACTGTTATCCATGGAATGAAGAAACAACATGGATTGCGCCAGACACTAGTCGCTATCAACACTGATTATACAACTGCAAGTATAACGCTGAAGAAGGGTGAAATTGTGACACTCTGCGAGTGTCGTCAATCTAAAGACCATCGTCAGTGGTTCTATGTTAAAACGCGAGATGGACGCGAAGGTTATATACCGGCTGAAGTTGCAGGGCATGGCTATTTGTAAATCCTTGACAATTCAATTGGGATCAACAATAGTCAATATATGTTTTCCATTGAAGATACTTTAAACCAAAAAAACCAAAACTCCCCTCCTTGTTGGCTGCAACGTTCATCTGAAGATACGGGTATTAAGCATGTTTGCATCGAAGGAAGTAATTATGTTAAAAATCGTGTTGGATGAAAATATTCAACGAAGTCTAGTTTAAGCCACAGTCATTCCAATCGCTTTGTATTTATAACTATACCATATTATATATAATATGTATTTTACTTTAAGGTTTTTAAATTATTGTATTGCAATATATGTATGAGTGTACAATTTAGTAGCTAAATAATAATAAATAAAATAAATAATTATGGCATATGGCACATTCAATCAAAATTTTTTTGTACAATGATTTATCTTCTTCTTCTTGTTCTTCTTGTTCTTGAGTTAGTGCTATTACGCACTTTTACTCTATAATGGCTGGGCTAAGAAATCATATCATTTATTTGTCTTTTAGTTGATGACGGACCTTAAATCAGTATATCTTCCTGAGAGTCCAGAAGTGGACTTGAGGATTGTTATAAATATTTATAATTATTTTTTATTATAATATTATAGAAATATTATCTTCTTTGATTCAAATAAATTATATCTGCTTGATGCTTTACTTTAAATGAAAATATTTAAGTATTTAATCACCGACTGCACTGGTAATCGCTCTAAAGTCAATAGATGACAACAGGTATGCACGTAGCTAGAAGCAAAATTTAGGGGGTCTTTGACTTGCTGAGATAACAGAAACAGTTATTCTTTTTTTAGAGTTAATTAATTAGTTCGCCCCGTCATTTTTCGTTTACATTAAAACTTCCCAGTACTATTTAGCTCTTTTTCTGCCCTAACTAACTGTAACTAGAACAACAGGTAATATGACACAGTATTTGATCAGTATTACCTTAACATTTGGATCAATAAAGACATATTTTTAAATATATTTCGTCTGTAACTTAGAGATAAAATTTAAAATAAATAATTTTTTTTGACATAACATATGTATTATTTTTTTATTATTATTTTCTTTAAGTTTGATTTGTTATATTATAATCCAGATATTATCAAATGAAATAGCACTTGAAGGAAACTAATTGCTTTTTCGACTTAACAGACTCAAAACAAAGTAATCAACTTCTTAAATGTCGATACGATAATGAAATAAAATGTCTAAAGAGCCCCCAGAAGAAGCTAAAATTAATCCTGTAAAAGCACTAGTGACTGGTGGTTTTGGTGGCATATGTAATGTTTTATCTGGTCATCCATTGGACACCATTAAGGTGCGCCTACAAACTATGCCGAAACCTAATCCTGGAGAACCGCCATTATATGCAGGTACATGGGATTGTGCGAAAAAAACAATTCAGAGAGAAGGACCACTGGGACTTTACAAGGGTATGTCAGCCCCACTTACAGGTGTTGTACCAATTTTTGCTATGTGCTTCGCTGGCTATGCACTCGGAAAACGTTTACAACAAACTGATGCTAACACAAAATTGACGTATACTCAAATTTTTATTGCTGGCGGTTTTTCCGGTGTATTTTCAGCTTTCGTTATGGCACCTGGTGATCGTATTAAATCTCTTTTACAAATACAACAGGGGTCTGGTGGGGAACAAAAGTATAATGGCTTGTTTGATTGTGCTATAAAGTTATATAAAGAAGATGGAATTCGTAGTGTGTATAAAGGACTCTGCGCAACGCTACTCAGGGACATACCGGCAAATGGAACTTATTTTTTAACTTATGAAATTATATCAGAAATGTTAACGAAAAAAATTGGTGATGACACTACATCAAAAGTAGCAGCAATATCAATTATTAGTGGTGGTGCATCTGGAATGACATATTGGATTCTTGGCCTGCCAGCTGATGTACTAAAAACCCGAGTACAAACAGCACCACCAGGCAAATACCCACATGGTGTACGCTCTGCTTTCCCAGATCTCTTAAAAAATGATGGACCGTTGGCTTTATATCGAGGCATGACACCTATAATGCTGCGTTCATTTCCAGCAAACGGAGCGTGTTTTCTGGGTATCGAAATGATGAACAAATTTTTAAAATTCGTTGTACCAAATTTTTAATTATTTATCCATTTGATAAAAATGTAAAAATATAATTTAACGATCTAAACAGGTGTATAGATCGTTAGCAATTTTTTAACCCTAAAACACACACCTGGGTCTTGTAAATAAGTGATGTTACTACATTAAAATTTTAGATCGTGGAAATTTTAGAAATCCCGAGCAATTTTAATCCATTTTCATTGCTCTTGGTAAAGGGGTTCAGGATTTAAAAGCTTACAAAGTTGACACCTACGTAAACACACATTCGGGGTACCCGCGTATCCACTTGTCATTTATACAGAAAATACAGTAATTTATAGCAAATAACAGGAGTTTTGTATTCTTATCATATAAATAGTTATTTTTATTTCTAATATACATATTATATGTATTTTAAATAGTTTTACACCATAGTACGCATATAGATGTGTCAATAAAATGCTGCAATGCAGTAAACCGCTGCATTGGCTGCACGATTTTCGAGTCTTTCTATAACGTTTTTCATCCTAAATGCAGCACAGATAACAGGTTCCTGTTATAGGTTTTCTTGAATGAACTTGTAAAGGTGCTAATAGATCAGTGTTCAAAAACTGTTTCAGTGGATCTTTCAAATAACTTTCAATGGCTACTTTCGTGATGAAATTCCGCGTAATTTGACGATTCAGTGCACGTTCCTCTATTATTGGCATAGAAAGCACTTCAGTCAATCTGCGTAGAAAGAGCTTACGTCTGGTGCCAGTACATGGTATCATATGTCTTCGGCTTTTTTATTTGTATGGCGCATAATGATATCCATCATTTATGGACTCATGAAACATTTGAACATTTGCTCTACTGACATCATTTCTATAGTTTTATCTGCACCATAGCATTGGCGGACATTGTTTTGGTTAAGATTTGATATGATACATGAGGTCGAGTATCCCATTGCATTCGATCTCTTGCAGTTAATTTGTCACTAACTTATTTATGGTAAAATTTCATCTTCATTGTCATCGGAAGCGTCAGAATCGGCACAAATCACATTAGCCCTTTTATGCGTTTCTAACAGCTTTTCAGCATCAGGCGGTTCAGCTTCAAATTCTATGATCATGTTCGAGTGGTGTTCACTAATATTGCACCATAACTGTATAATCTATTTTATCTTCTTTGTTGATGCTCGATAAACACTGTCAGCTGAAATTCTCTTGATATTCGAAATATTTTTGGAAGACATTTTTTCTTGACATCTTATTAATACGAATATTATCATTCTATCATAGATAGTCATATATAGTTAGGCTATTTAAATTATACTACTGAGCTATATCTCGTTATAGTCACTGCACGGGTGTACTCAAAGTATTGACTTTTGTTGCTATTGTAGTTATTTTCGCCCGAATAGCTAATACATATCTGTTATTATAGTCGCTGTTGGGAGTGGAAATGGGTGTTTGGTGGTCGTAATTGATGAGTGGCTGTGGGACGTAGATTAAATCGTTTTTATGTTCCTGTTTCTGATAAGTGTTAAACGCTGTTGCAAATTACATTTGATTCTATTTGTCCTCTATCGGGCTTAACTAAAATGGATATATAACTAGTTATAAGTAATGCCACTGGTATTCGATCTATTATTTTTGTAGCAGATGTTTCTTTTCAATTATTTATCAAAAGGCAAATACGAAGATTTGAGGAACAATCCTTGCGCTATGTTAAGCTTATATTAAGGGAGATGCAAAGCATGGTGCAGTATTGTGATAATGATATACAAAAAATTTGAATTTTTCCAAAATTGCATAAAAAGATTATTAACGTAGTTACCAATTTTTATTTACTTTTTTTATTTGTAAGGTTACATGAGTAACTCATTCTTACTTTTGGTATTTCTTGGTTTAAGTGTTTACACTTTAACTTTTAAAGCTTAGTGATTAGCGAAACAAAAACAAAAACGAAAAGTATTTTCCTATTTTTTTCCTAAATTTGCAGTACACATTTATCTCTTGTATTTTTGCAAGCATTATGTGAGAATGTTGTATGGCATTATAAATATATATTATTTTAAATAAAATATATTCTTGCGAAATTATGAAGTGAATGAAAAAGAAAAATGAAATAATTAGAAACGATAATGAAAAATAAATATGTTTTACTACTTTTAGCCAAATCGTTTCCTTTACTTTGTATAGTAATCAAACGACATATTGCTTCCAAAGGGTTAATTTTATTTGATTTCAAAGACTTATTTGATTTCTAAAAGCAAATTTAATTTCAAAATACTGATAAATTATATTGAAATAAATATATTAAAATAAGCAAAAGCAAAAGTTAAAACCATCAACAAAATGCAATAATGTTAAACGGATTTTTAAAACCTAGTATATATTTTAAACTTTGAGAAGAAAAAGAAATTTGCAACAAATCCAAGACGTTAGAATATTCTCAAACACATTTCGAAAATAATTCACATTTTAAATTCGAAAATTCGATAACAAGTAATCTCTATGTAAAAAAACGTTTCAAACTACATGTATCTTAATACCAATTACTTTTCTTTCGACACCGAGTACCAAGAATAATCAGCGTAAAGTAGTCGGTATCGAAAGAAAAGTAACGACTATTTGCGCGTATGTTTCAAATCAGGAGATTAGTTGTTTACTGATAGCTTAATTTTAATTTAAATTACTATAATGTCGGTCGACATTCTACAGAAGAGAATTTGCTGACACCTTAGGGTTTTCATTGTGTGATGTTTGCAATGAAATAGACCTAGAAAAAAAGTGTCCTTGCGTTTATTTCGAAGAACAATACGCGAGCATGGAATACCACAAATATAAACCGCATTTTTATTTAGAATGTGGCACAAATAATAAATGCCGTAGAATTCGTAAATATTAGGAATTCTCCTAAAGAAAGCAAGAATTTCCTAAAGAAGGCGAATTTATATATAAAGATATATACAACGATCGCAATAAAAGCTAAAATTCCCTAAAAAACCAAACCGACTCTAAAATATTTTTGATGTAACAACTTAAATATGAAAAACAAAATTGCAAAAAATGCCTGTTTCAATTTGTAGATGGTTTTTGGTCATATTGCGATTTATGTTTGTCATAGACGATAATCAAAGTAAATTAGTCAAAACTTCATCATCATCTGATACTTATTGGTATATATGCGAAGAAGCTACAGATTTTTTTTCCAACCTTTGCGATAAATTTGTGGTAAATGCTGTAGAAATGACTATGTACATCGCATTTGCATACGGAAGTATGCAGGATACTATTTGAACTGTAAGAATATGCAGTTTCGTGAAGCGAAGAAGTAAGGTATATTCGTACACGACCTCGATGCACAATAGGAATAACAAAAAGGTGTCTTCAATGATTTGCACCCAATATATAGTCATTGCGATATAGACACACGTCTTTGTTTATGTGGTTGGGACTATGTTGGACATAACGCCGATAATATTATTTTCATTTTAATTTAAAATATATCATTATTATTGAAAACATAAAATTTAGGTAAATGTACAACAGCAAAGTGAAACTCGTTGTCAGGGAAGCTTTTGCACATATTTATCCGATATGGACAAAGAAGTTATGAGAAGTATATTCCGAAAAAAGCGAAAATGCTCATTATAAATGAAGCAATTTCATTTTCTCAAGATACTGCAGCAGCGACTCACGAAAGTCGCCAGGTATATATAAAGAATTTGACAGAAGTTCTTTATGTTCTCTTTAAAGCGAAAATAGATGTGAATAACAATCATAAAAATTTAGGAGCAGATGCAACATCTGTTGATATGCTAGTAGAAGACTGGAGCCTCTATATAGTTCATATATTTCTAGAACTAAAAATCCTACTCCATTAGTTATATTAGAAAGTGAATGTTATGAGATTAAAGACATTTGTTAAGTTGAAACCACATTGCAATACTAGGATATAATTTGGAATGTGAGGATGAAGAATTTGATGAAATCAAATCGAATAGTGATACTTTTACGAAAGAAACTCATAACTACAGCACAGTCTTTAGGATCAGTTCGGAACATTACAATGAGAAATCTTATATAAGGAAAATAAGGATAGCTAATAGAAGCTAATGTATTTAATAGTGCAAATACTGATGACCATATTAGTGTCAAAACGCAATCAAAAATTTTATCATTGTCATCGCATACGACACAAAATATTGAAAACATTACTTGTTTTGATATATACGAATTTGATGATACGATAAATTGTTTAGGTACATGTACTGTACGAATAGATTTCACAGAAGATCCTCGTTTTACCGACAAGTCATTTGAGAATATAAAAGGGACCAATGGTTTGATTCATGAAAATAAAATTATAGCACGTAATCGAGATATTATTGTTGAGTACTTAAATTAAAATGTTTAGTCATGATTTGTATAAATGTTTTTATTGTAATCTTAAATATAAACATATATATTATATTGTTAAACTAATTATAAGTTACAAAAATTGAATTAAATATGTAAATTAAATATTCAATTATTTTTGTAATATAAAACATGAATTTGAATTTGTATAATTAAACCTTAACAAATTTCTGGTTATGAATACAAAATTTTACTTTGAATACATTTAATTTTACAAACATTAATTTGTTTTATTCATATGATTTATTAAAACTGTGCAAACTTCATTAAAATTTGGCCAATATTTTTACTATAAAAATTATATTAATTTTCATTAATTAATTTTATAAACTAAATAATCTTAATTTTATTTAAATAAACATATCTGTTTATATACGACTTCAATCATGATTTTATATCATTTATTGCTTATATTTTATTAATTTTCTCACTCAAATCTTAGAGATTATAATTCTAATTTTTTTTGTTAAGATAACAGCTAACAGGGAAGAATAACTTATATATATATTATTTTGTAAATATATCGTTTATATGATTTAAAATCAAACTCATTAATAAATAGAATTAATTCCGACACAATTAAGTGTAAAAATATTTTATTATGTTTACAAGTCAATATATATATTTTTAAAATATCATAAATTATTTCTTTATATTCTTATATTTATTAATTAATTAATAATGAATGACTTCTATTTAGTATAATATAAATAGCAAATACATTCATATGACATAATTACGATTTAGAAATACACAGATATTGCAATGATCAACTAAAAGGAAAAACAAATGTAGGGATACAAATTTATATGCAATCAGATTTTTATTGTCTTTTTAATCTTACTGATAAATGTGACGATTAATTCTAATTGCACATAAATTATGTGTTGATCATATTAACACTAGAACACTCTTAAAAGAAAATATAAATAATTATAAAATAAATTTATATCGTAAAAGCATAAATCGTAGTTTCTCAGTCGAAAATATAAAATTTTTACTTTTTTGACAGGAATACAATAATAATTTAATAATATAATTTATACAATTCTTTAATTGTTATAAATAGTTTATTTTTAATTAAATAATTACAAATTCAAATAAAAACTTATTCACTTAAGATATAATTAAAATACATATAATATTAAAAACCGAAATAGGTTGGTTAATAATAAAAATGAGCAATAATAATTTTTTAAAATTCAGCAGTTTGAGCAAATACAAAAAATTTTAGGGAATAATCTTAAAGTTATGCTTTAAGTTGGTAAGTTGGTTTTGATTGTGTATAAAATTGGAAATAGATTTAAAACATAATTGGATAATTATACATAAATGTATAATTATAAATAATAAAAAAGTTTGTTTTAGAATATTGGGGTATATGATAGAAATCGAATAGAGTAAATAATTATTTACATTTAATATACGCGTGTATACCTGTTAATAAAAATAAATATATACGGTATTTGCACATATATAAACATTAAAACAATACAAAACTATAATTTAAAAATAATATCTAATATATATTCGATAATATAGTAGCTAATACAAAATGTACAATATAAAATAAAAATTTTAATGAATTAAAATTTACATCAAAAATAAATTTTGTTTAATTACTGACTACATCAAAAGTAATTATACAAGCACATATATAAAAAAATTATACATTAACATATATAAAAAAATTAATAAAAAAATATAAACATAGGAATTCGAAGACGCAGCACTAAATAAATGTTAAAAACATCAATTTTATTATATCTTAAGATTATAATTGAACTATATTGCTATAATGTTTATTTATACTGTCCATTCTCATTTCGCATGTTTTGGGCTTGGACTTGGTGATGCTGTCGATGTTGTTGATAAGTTTGTGTTATCGCAAATACTATCACACGTTTCATTTTCTTCCTTTTCGTCTGGAACAAGAAAACCCTTTTCCAATAACACATCCATTGTTTTTAGATTACTTGGTTTTTCTTCAGCATGATTGATATTTAACATAGTATCATTCATGCGGTGATAATGCGGTTTCTGAGAGGTACTCGGTCGGGAGTAGTCTAAGTGATCATATTCATCTGTTTAAAAATGAAATGTATTAGTAAGATAATATTAAATTAAATTAAAACACTTATTATACACATGCAACTAGACTTAATACTTTAATACTTTAAAGTACATTGTGACCGAAAAGTTTCCGGTCATAAATAAATAAAACGCAAAATTCTTAATCTTCATCAATATTTATTTATCTCCTTCAAAATATGCTCCATTAGAAGCGATACACAAATGCCAACGTTTCTTCCAATCATCAAAACATTTTTTATAGGCGCTTTCCGGTATGGCTTTGAGTTCCCTCTGCGAATTCTGTTTTACGTCTTCTATGGATTCAAAACGCGTTCCTCTGAGTGGTAATTTGAGGTTGGGAAACAGGAAAAAGTCACACGGTGCAAGATCAGGTGAATACGGTGGCTGTTCGATGGTATTTATTGAATGTTTGGCCTTAAAATCGTTGATAATGTTGAACAAATTGAGGTGAATCGGAACAAGCCGGGCGTTGACACGTCGCATACACAAATTGTCCACCAAAATCAAACGAGCCATCTCACGACCGATGCCTAGCTCTCGTGCTATCTCTCTAACACTCACATGAGGATTTTTGAACACGATTTCCTTTGCCTTTTCAATGTTTTCGTCGGTGGTAGAGGTCGAAGGTCGTCCAGAACGCGGCATGTCTTCGACGGTCGTACGACAGTCCTGAAAGGCTTTGTACCACTCATAAACTTGAGTTTTCGATAAAACTGATTCCCCATAAGCCTTTTGTAGCATTCGCAACGATTCTGCACACGAAATTTCGTTCGAAAAACAAAATTTGATGCAAACTCTTTGTTCAATATTTTTTTCCATTGTTTTTTTCGCAACGCACTACTGAGGTGAACTGGTTTCAACAGCTGCCGTAAACGAACTGTCCGACAGATCGCGCTCCATTTTTGGCATAGTAATTAAGGACAGGTGCTGCCAAACTACATAAACTTAAAATATCGAAAAATATACAGCGCGCGAATTTTAAATGAGAACCTCCGAAAACCTTTCGGTCACAATGTATATTGAAAATATGTACATGATTATTAAATTTAATTTTCATCAAACTTCTGGGAACATATTGTTAATATAAAAATATTCCATAATATTGTCCATTATTTCACTATGCACTAAAAACATATCCCTTAATGCAAATGATGTATTTAATAATTGTTGAACAAATACACATATATTTTACATAGAATATATATTAAATATATATATAATAAATACTAAGATATTTAATCCTTATTCATTTAATAATCATATACAAAAGCACATTTTTTAAGGAAAATTAGTAAATAAGCAAAAGTTCTAAAGAGAATCTTATATGTATTAAACAATTTTTTATTCACATTTATACGGTTTCGCTAAAAAATTTTTATCCATATAACAAAATTAAAATAAATGAATAAATTCGTTATGGATAGATTCCTCATCTGAAACTACATACTTGATTTTGTACCATTCATACTTTTTAAGGCGTCGCACCATTTGTCAAGAACGTAAATCAGTCAGTAAATACAAATGTGCAAAATGGTAATTAAAACAAAAACAATTAAATAATTCAAATAAAAAACAACACAAACAAAAAACATAAATAAATAAAAACAAAATAATGACAAAATAAAAATAAATACGCACAGCGAGTAATGTTGATGAGTCTTGCATTTAGTGCTTTCTTACCATCAGGAAACAATTTCTTCCGATAATCTTTGACTGTTTAATGACAAGCATATTAGATGGATGTTAATGTTAATATATAAATATGTATATATATTATAAGAGATTTGATTAGTAGTTATTTAAAAGCTATAATTTTAAATTAGAATGTATGATTGTTTAATTGTTAATAATTTTGTGACCAAATAACTTTAATAAGTGTTTTTTTTTTATAGGCTAATTGGTCAAAACTTTTTTATTATTGTTGTTAAAAATGTAAATTATTTATTATTGTTATTTAATGTAAAAAAGGATATTTTAAAATATACATTTAAAGTTTATTTATCGCATTTATATAGCATAATAAATAAATTTTAATTATAATTATAATTGGTCTTAGAAACATAATTACTACAATTATGCATTGTTCTGTTTCCAATTACTACACTCTGAAAAATACAGTATGAATTGCGGAGTATATAGTATAAAATATCCTTTCGTCTTAATTATTCGCAAATAATATTTATTCATTTTCACTCACCGGGATCCTTATAACCTTCTTTTTGTTTAATTTCATCATAAACATGCTCTTCTTTTAAAGCGTCATCAATGCAATTGTAAACATTAGGATTCGTTAGATCGGCATTTAAATTTTTAGTGAGCATGTCACTGTTGTAATTTATTGAATAAGTTCCAGCTAAATAGAGAAAATATTATTTAAATAATATAAACATATGTATGCAATTTTATATTACCTCTACTGCTTGCATTTGAATCATCACCATATACCATACTACCATTGCAATCTAGATTGTTCATTTTCGGTCGTAAATTATTGAGCAAACGTGAATCCGCACCTTGTAGGCCATAAACTGGATTATCGAAATTGTGTCTATCCGGCCAACCTTGTGATGTGTCACTGATATATTGCACATGTTGAATTTCAGTTTTCAAATTGGATACACGTCGACGATAATAAAATATAACAGCTATAATCACTCCTACGAAAATTAAACCCAATACTAAGCCCCACGCAAGACCAGTACGATTAGCTAAAAAACAAAATACAAGTAGTATTAAATTGAAATAAATAATAATTCAATTCATGATATAGTTACATTCCAGATCAGCTCGCTGTATTTGTAACGCATTGGTTGGTACATCACAATTTTCACCAGTATAGCCTAGACGGCAAACGCAACCCTTAGCAGCATGGCATACAAAATTTTGTGAGGAGCAAGTACATGGTAACATACAGTGTTGACCATAAAAACCCTCCGGACAAACTAATGGATAAAAAAAATATATTAAATAAAACACATTTCCACAAAAAATTAAAAAACAATCACCTTCATCACAACGTGAGCCCATCCATCCAGGTAGACATATACATAGACCATCATTCTTGCGACAGCCTTGATGATTCTGGCAGCGACAGCGCTGTGAACAATTTATGCCATAATAGTCTGTGGGGCATGAATCGTTGCAATTGGGGCCAGTCCAACCAGGCAAACATTGACAATTTCCAGTAATATGGTTACATTCACCACCGTGCTCGCAATGGCACTTTAGCGTACAGCCAGGACCATAACGACCAGTAGGACATGGATGTTCACAAGTTATTCCAATATAACCAGCGCGGCAAATTATTTCTCCAGTTATGTGATCACAGCTCTTGTTACCTACAAAAGAAAATTGTAGCAAGGATTTACTATATATAGACTATGAACACAAGGACTTTTCTCTTACCATGCATTATCTCAGGACATTTCTCTTTACAGCCCATGCCGTAATAACCTTTTGAGCAAGGTTGGGAACAGTCCTCTCCAAGCCAACCAGGCGAACAGATGCAGCGTCCAGTGTTTGGGTCACAAGATGAATTATTCGTACATCTGCAAACTTGATCACAATTTTCACCATAAAAACCAGTTGGACAATTTGTTTCACAATGAACACCTTTTTTGTTTTTATTTATATATTTTTTTATATAAAACGTAACGCAAAAGAACAGAGGAAAACAGTACCAAAACGCAGTAAATATAACATAAAATAGAACAAAAATAATGTCAATTAAAAAATTATGTAAATTTGTTTGTGTAAGTGTGAGTATGTCTTGTGAAATGTTAGATGAGGATGCAAGAATGATTTTACTATACTACTCATGCAGTTGGACACAGTAAGAAGTCAAGAAAATGCATGGATAAAAGAGCATATCCAGGTAACAAGTCACAGTTTTTTTAGAGCTTTTTTTTTGTTATACTAAGAATGAAACCTCAATTTCATGAAAATGAAAAATGTTTTCTTAATGAATGATCTTGAATGTATGTATGAGTGTGCAGTTCATCCATACCTCCCCAACTTGGTTTACATATACATTTCCCATCGACAGCTTCACAGGCCAGTGTATTTTGAGGATCGCATTCACATTTTTGTGCGCAATCCAAACCAAATGTTCCAAAGTCACATTTTCGTTCACATTTCTTGCCAGTCCAGCCAGCAGCACAAGTGCAACTACCATTTTGCGGATTACACGATGCATTATTATGACAATCACATACACCAACACAATCCTTTCCATAATGGTTTATATCACATGGACGATCACATTTGATATTTTTCCAACCTGGCGTACAGAAGCATTGACCTGTTTCAGGTGCGCATTTTGCGCCATTTTTGCAATCACATTTCTGAGCACAATCCTGTCCATAGGATCCCGGTTTGCAGCTTTCTTCACAAGTTTCTCCCTGATAGCCAGGTGCACAAATACACGTACCATTAATAGGCGAACATTTAGCATTATTTTTACAATTACAATTTAATTCACAATTGGGTCCGTACTTTAAGAATGTGCATGGTCTATTGCATTGTAAACTACTCCAACCAGTTTTACAACTGCATTTGCCGGTATAAGGATGGCACATTTCTGTGTTATCCATTAAACATTCACACGTTTTATTACAATCTGTGCCATATTTATCTAACTCACAAATACGTTCACTACAATCAACGCCTTGCCAACCGGGACTACATGTACAAACTCCTGTTGCCTTATCACAAGTTGCATCATTTTTACAATTGCATGTTTCCGTACAGTTCAACCCATATAAATTGTCTGGACATTTATCAAAACAACGTTCACCCAAATAACCTGGCGGACATTCACATTTCCCTGTTATGTGATGACATGGAGCTTCTTTGAAACACTCACAGGGTTTCTCGCAATTTGGTCCGTACGTTCCGACAGAACATTTATTTGCACAAACTACTCCAGTCCAACCAGGTGGGCACATACATTCGCCGCTTTGTGGATCACACTTGCCATCGTTTTGACAACGACAATCTTGCTTACATTGTGCACCATGTTTTCCATCCGGACACTGGTCCTCGCATCTTGCAGAATTAAATAAAAAAGTGACTTATTCACTTTAAGAACTGTTTTTAATATTTTGATAAACTTACAAGGGTCCAGTAAAGCCTGGTGCACATGTGCACTCTCCAGAAACATGATGGCAACTGCCACCATTTTCACAACGGCACACTTCCTTGCATTCAGAACCATAACGATTTTTGGGGCAAGTGTCAGCACATTTCTCACCAGAGTATCCCTTGGCACATTCGCAAGCACCAGTGTAAGGTTCACACGTGGCATTGTTAAGACAATCACATTGCTTACCACAGTCACGACCCCAGAAACCGGGTGGACAATCTATGCGAAGATTTATAATTACTTTTTTTATTTGTTTAAAATATTGTGCTTGAATCAACAAAATATCGCTTTCCCACTGTTAATTATTTACACAACATTTACACATTTACACATTTTATGCAGCACATAGACGTAGTGCATTTAACATTAGTGCCCAAAAAGAAGTTTATTTATTTAAGCAGTTAAAAATGTTTAGTAAGTAACCGACCAAGTATGTCTACCAAGATTAGAATCAGTTCCGAAAGTTTTTTTTATCTATTACGTATTGTAGTATTGTGAGGGTGTTAATGCTGAAGAGAGTGTTCTTCAAACAGAAAAAATATATTTAAAAATAACTAAAATAAAAAAACTTGAAAAAACAACACCGAAATGCAAAGTAAAGCAATTATAGAACTTAATGTAATCCAAAAGTATCTTAATAAATACATATATTATTTTATACTTATTCAATTGATTAAAATTGTGGCACACATTTTTTTAACACGGACAATCCCCACATGATTATAGTAGTCGTCATTTGTTTAAATCCAATATAAGGCATTTTAGCTTTAGAGATCACTTATATAGAATATTTGTTTGTAAAACAAATTTAGATTTAAAATCAATTGAATTTATTTTTATTTCATGCCAACTTGATTTTTTTTCAAGTGTCAAATAAAAAATGTGACAGAAATTTGAAATATCTAAGAAATCTTATAAATTATACTACCTTAAAGCAATTACAGATAGCTCAAAACCTGGCTTTAAGAAAACTGTTAAGATTCCATGGTATATTAGATCAACAGACATACATAGAGATCTTAGGATTGACTCAGTGAAAAAATATATCAGAGACAGAGCTCTAAAATTATTCACTAAAGTTGATACGCTAATTAACCCCGCTAATTAACAATCCTCAAGTCCACTTCTGGATTCTCAAGAAGATTTTCTGATTTAAGGTCCGTCATCAACTAAAAGACAAATAAATGATATGATTTTTTTAGCCTAGTTAAAGCCTAGTGTGGGGTAGAGATAAGCCCCCCAGCCATTATAGAGTAAAAGTGCGTAATAGCACTAACTCAAGAAGAAGAAGAATTAAGAATCAAGAAATTAAACGTTGACATGACAATTTTAAGACCAATAATTGAAAAATAAAATTCAAATTTAAAAGGTAAGGTCATGTTTCAAGTAGCCATTTGCTGATATATCATAACTAGAATATAGTTGATTCTAGAATTTATAAAATTCAGCTTTCTACTTCATATTAGAATTAGTCAGACTTTCTTTATGATATATATCTTAAAGATATATTTATCAGATACTTTTAGATATTTAAAACATAAGTTAACTCTGCTAATAAACACCAATAACACATATTAGTATTGTATTGTATTAGAAGCTTAGAAAACTGTTCAAAAAAGATAGATTATTAAATAATTCAAGATTGTGTCTAATTTCTACTGAAAGCAATTAAAAACAAAAGCAGAAACTAAAAAAATAAATCAATAAAAGCACACAAATAAAACTACATATATTAATTAACATATTAACGAACTTATATCACAAGCAGGTCCTCCATAACCGTGGTCGCATTTGCACTTATCTGGTGCAATACATTTGCCATGTTGACACTTTTGAGTGCAATCCGGTTCACACGCGGTACCATTAGCACTGATTTTATAACCATCTAGAAAGATTAAATGTATTAAATAATAATCATATTAAAAATGTCTAGACTAAAAATATAATAAAAACAATTGTTATTTTATAAAAAGTTGCAGAATCATATGAGACTGTAAATACTATTTAAAGATATATTGTCAGCTTAAAGAAATCTTAATAGTCAGGAATGAAGATGAGTGGCAGTGTTAGGAATTATAAGATAAAGACTTTGAAAAAGAGGAAGTGTGATTTAGTGGGAGAGGAAACTGAAAACATTTTAACATGAGGATCGCTAGAAAATGAACAAGATAATGCATAGAACTGAATCAATAGTTGTCAATACATTCCTGTCAGAAATATAGATAGACATGAATACAATAGCGTGAAAGGATTGTACTAATTGATGTGCCAATTAGGTCTTCATTTGTGGGATTACATGAAGAAATTGCTCATTCAAAATGCAATTGGACTCTGCATTGTATAAAGTATTAGTGTGTTTTTAATTAACTGAGAAATTTTAATGTCAGTTCTTTTAATCTTCTTTTTTATTATACATTACATTATTTTAATCTTTTCGCAAAAAAAAAGAGTAACAGCAATCATATTACTTCGCCTTTTTTATTTTTCCCAAAACTCACCACTGGAAGTCGTGGGAGCTTTGCGCTACTTCCACAAGACCGACTTTTCTCAATCTATATCTCATTTACCTTTATTTTTGTTTAGATAGCTTCTTGTCAATTAGTTTCAAACAAAGTTGAAAATTATATCACAACATAAAAAATTACTTAAAAAAATATAGAAAGGAAAAGGATATGGTAAAATAAAACAAATTTGGATTGAATTGGATAGTGTGTAATAAAATAGAGCAAAACAAAATAGAATATAATAGAATAGAGTAGAATAAAAACAAGCAACAAGCATAAGAATTGGAATAAGAATTAGAATACGAATAAAAACAATAATAAGAATAAAAATAAGAATAAAAATAATAAAAAGAACAAAAATAATAAGAATAAAAATAATAATAAGAATAAAAATAATAATAAAAATAAAAATAATAATAATAATAAAAATAAGAATAAGTATACGATTAAAATTGTTTAGCATAAAGGAGCATAGAACAGAATAGGAGCATAGAAATAGAATAAATATAATTAAATAAAACAGATTGAAATAAAATCGAATGGACATTTATCCACACATACCACCAACATTCCACCTTCGTTCAACGTATTCGGTGAAATGGATAACCGATATCTTCAAGAACAACGATTCAGAGCGAAATTGGTAAATGATTCAAGAGTTATAATCAATGTTACCTAACTGAAACTGCTTATAGAAATTGAGATCATATAATAATACTAATATAAGGGTAATTATTTTAAAATAAAATATTATAAACAAAGTGTCAAAGTATTTTGAATATTTTATAAGCTTCTAAGCTTTATATTAAGCTTATTTCATGCGCTAATATAGCGAAAAATTCTTCCATTAATAATATAGCAAGGGGTTGCTCTGCAACTTTTTATACGAAGTTCTCATACTTATAGATCTTTGGAACACCAATACTCACCACAGCAATCTCTTTTAATTTGTTGTTTATAGATCGTGTGAGTTTTATTGACAACTTTGTGATTTATACGATATGTAGAGCATCTCGGGGGTATTTGTAGGCACCAAACAGAGCTGCGTTCTTGATAAGACTGTAGCTCAGTAGTGACTACTTCAACAGGAAATCTATAAAACGCAGAAGTTTTTAAAATGATACAATAAAAAGTTAATATAAATTTATTTTTAATACGTACGTTTCGAGCTTCTTGCATACATTCGGGCCTTCCAGTTTGTTCTCTAAATAAATGTCTGTACTGGCTGCAAACACTGCTGCTGTCAGCAATGTTAATGTCGTGTATATAAATACAAATTTCACGTTGCGCATTGTTTGTATATTCTTATATATTTATTTAATTAATAATATATTTTGCATATATTTACTTAATGCTTCATTTACTGATATATGCGGGCAAAACTGCTGTCAACTTCAGTGCTGTTGAACGGCAGTAATGAGAACTTTTTTATTGTCCCAAGTGCTTTGTTGCAGTCGCTAAATAAATTTGCGCATTGCTCTATAAACCGACGCTGCTTTTGTGGCTTTAGCGCTGTATTTGATATATAAATATCTTTTTCACTTGATGATTCAGATCGGATAAATTCAGCTATAATATCTGCTTTTCAAGTGGCAGCAGAATCAGCAGCAAATAATAATGCTCTATCATCAAAACTGCAATCAGAAAAAGGAAAATTATATTTTATTAAATAAATAATAGGATTAATTAAATAATTTTATACTATATAAAATTGTTAAATGTACATACGAATATATATTTCAAAAATTTACAATTTAATTTATTTATAACATTTCTTCCATATTTCAGTACAAAAGTAAGTTTGCAAAACAAACAGAGAAACCGCAATATTTACTAATATTCATTCATTGACTCATTTATTGATGGTTTTAAAAATCAAATATAGCTATAAGCGTTTTTTTGATACGGTCTTAAGAATTATTACTGAATGAAAAAATATTTTTGAAATATTAAATAATTTTTATATACATATACGATATACAATATAAACGATAAGAAATATCTCATAAAAAATAATCAAAGGATTTATCTTAATTTTTATTCTTTATTCTTATATTTAAAATAGTCTTCTTCCAAGTCAGCACACCGCTTGAAACGATCAACGAATATTTCAAAAGATACTTATTGGATGTATACTGGTATTATGTTGGAAGGAGTATTTCGCGTGATTGAGATAGTATCGAAAACTATTTCCATTCGTGCTTAACTTCAATTCTAAGAATAATTGGAAGTCGTGCGTATGGTGGATGATTCCAGGGTGGTTTTGTGCAACATTGCTTTATCGTGCAACAAAAATCAACTCCCTTCTCTATATTAGCATCACAGTCGTCTTATACTGGCCCACAGCTGTTTCTCAACTCTTCGATAATTTCTTCAATAACATAAGTCTCTCAAGCACTTAGTTGTCTTTTTGTATTTGCGCGACTTAAAACTCTCCAGAAACAATAAACTCATATGCTCACAGATTTTATAAATAATTTACTGTTTTTATAATACTTCTTTAGTACTTGTTTTTTTTTTTAATAAAAGCAAAACAATTAATTTTGAAGTTTTTAAATCAAATATGTAAAAGATTTGAAATTTTGACTTTTAAAAAATATTTCGGTATTTTAAAACTGGCATCCCGTTCACACAACTGTACAATTTGGAAGAATTCCATTCGTAAGTTCTTCTTATACTTAATGTGTTATTCAATAATATTACATATAAATATTGATTGACTAGTTTTAATAGTAGTAGATCTACTTCTCTTTTGTTCAAGTATCTCATAAGCATTATGTTCTTATCAAACGTCCGAAAATTAAGGTATAAGAAAAAATTTTTAAAAGCCAAACTGTGCAGTTGATAATGAAGACTTCTCTTTACGAAATTACTTAATTTAGTCAGATTATGCTAATTAAATTATTTTTTTTTTTGGAAAATGTTAATTCGTAAATAATTTCACGGCTCTATCATTTATATATTTTTTGATCGGACCAATCTTGAGGTTCCCGAGGCTGTTATTCGTCCTAACGTACCATGTCACATTGAAAAATATTTTTATTTTTGTCAAAAACGTATTTATTTGTTTCTGCGGCCCTATAAGCTGTACAGTGATTTGTATTGGCCCGCGATCGCATTCAGTCTGGACAGCCCTGAACTAGCATATCAGATCATGAGCTGTTAGCTTTACCTCATGCAAGATATTAATTTTATTTAAAAGGAAAATATAATAAGCAATTAGTCACAGTCGATTCAACTAATATAGAATTTTTTCGATTGAATCCACAAAACGTTTTAGTACTTTAATCTAGTATTCAAACAATTAAAAAAAACAATACTTTTTAGTCTTCATGCTTAAATGAAAAACAAAGTATGTATACATATTTATTCAAAATTTAGAAAATTAAATTTATTTAAATCTGGCATAATTTTGAAATTTATTTGTAACTAGAAAGGAAGCAGAATTATTTTGTCTATAAATATAAAATTTCGATTGGTTGCATCTGGTTCAAAGCTTAAAATTTAAATTTTGCGTATATTTTTTAAAAACTATAAAGTAACAAAATGGATCCTACTAAATATGGTTTAAATTATCTTCCCTTTCTAGAAGAATTTACAGAAACCCCAACTACACGTACACGCGTAAGTCCACGGTAAGTAGTCATAATAAATTTTTTTAATACCTATGTATATGCTTACAATTTCTATTGGTCCTTTATCAAAATTATTGTATCCTTGCAAAACACGACTTGTCCCTAGTATACAATAATCATACATATTTGTAGAGCGGTTTCACACAGCAAAATAGCAAACCGTAAACTAAACATATGATGCTTTGAATGAAAGTTCCAGCCCTGCAAAAGTACTGCCTAAACAGTATTACATTATTATTATTGAACATTACTTTTGTTGAATTTCAACTACTGAACTGCTCGTTTCAAAAAAGAGATCAAACTAAGAGGTTCCATATAGAAATATGGAGTTAGTAAAATAAAATTAGTGATAAATGAGGAGATAATTTTTTAAGCTTTTCGCTTACACTTGCTACAAAGATATTTAAATTTCCTAAAAAATTTCTTAAAATATTAAAATTATACTAATAATAGAGATGACTCGTACTCTGAGATAACTCATAGTTTTTCATACCCTGTGACTAAATGCAACTTCCCACCTTACTGACAAATGTTTCTATAACTAGTCTTGTAAAATGCTATGAACATGTTCACTTAAGATTTTCACTGTGTTAGCAATCATGAGAACCTTTATTCGGTCATTAATCATCAATAGATTAAGAATTTTATCCAGCATATCCAGAGTTGTTACCTTGGCCGCTTAGTATCTTTAGTGCTTATAGTACCACAATAAAATTGGGAAACAACTTTGAAATTATTTCGAAAATAGACCTAAAATATATTGCCGGATTATAAAAAAATATCACCAATTTAATAATTCCATGTTTTTATTCTCTCATACATCTTCTCTATTGACAGCGTTGTTAGACATCAAATGTTGCCACACATTCTTTTTAATTTATAAAGTTCTTATTTTAAGCATATTTCATTTATTTTTAGTCCTTTAATAATGCCTCAAGGTCGCTATCAGGATAAACATCAAGACTGTTCTCTTCTTGATGGCAACTTCAAAGGTAGCTATCAAAGGTACTACCAACAACGGAATCGTTCAGGTAACTATCAAGGTGGGGGCAGCAGCATGTATCAACAATTCCCACGTTATCGGAAGGCTTCAACGAGTATGCATCAAAACTCCACTCTTGATGATAGCTACAATAATAATAATTATCAGTTACAACCATTAGGACAACTGCAGAGCCCTCTTATACGTCTTTGTCGATATTATGCAGAAAAAATATTCTCAGAAAAGAAAATCGAGCGGATGTCAGCATTTATCTCAACTATTCAAGAAAATGCAGCTTTTCGGAAAATGTTTCAATTTACTTTAATTATTTTCAAGATTTTCTTTATAATATCATCCATCGTATTTTCGGCTATGTCAAAAGTGTGGAGTTGGAGCTACATTTTATGGAAAGGTCGATGTGTTTTGCACAGTGGTGCCCGTATTCTATTGTGGCGTATGACTTTGGCAAAGTGTGATGACGTCCTATTTTATGGGATGATTTTGGTATTATCCCCAGCCCTGTTTGTTGTGGCGATTTTCGGTTTTCTGTTGTCCTGCTTCTGTGCTGTAAGAGATTCCATTTTGAACTTCAAGAAGTACGTCAGCGGTATTTACTATTCTTAAAACTTATCCTGTCCTGAGCTATTTATGTTGTATATATTAAATAATTTTTTTACATGTAAAAATTTTGATTATATATATTCTTGTCCGTGCTTATCTTAGAATTTATTTAATAAAAATTTTTATTTTGTAAAATGCGTTATTCCATTGACAACGAGGAGTATTTCCGCTTCTCGTCACCAACGCTTAAGCGTTGAATATAGTTGAAATGATAGCAGCCTCTATGGTAGATACTTATATGATATTGTGCTGTTTATGTGATTTTTATATGCTCTGTAAGTAAAGTATGTATATATATGAGTATACATATACGTTCTAGATTTGCGCGTATTCGTAGCTGCCATTTGTTCGTATGTTTTCAATTGCATTTTCAATTGAGTGCAGCACGCAGTTGAATGTACACAGATTATATATACAAATGTATGTCCATATAATGTGAAGTATAATTATTTACATTAGTTTGATTCATATCAAAAATATTTTTAAAAGCTTATACTTATATTTTAACTTAAGAAGCAAGCACCAATAATATTAAATTAGAAAATTAGCTTAAATTATACTCAAAGCCAAAATTAATATCTTTCGACGGTCGGTTTTTGTTAGATAACCGAACATATATAATTTAATTTATAACAGATGTTTAGACTTTGTGTAAGATTTTATACATTTTATAACAAGTAATATAGGTATAATATAATATATATAATATATATATAATATAGGTATATAATATATATATTTTTAGTTGGGCAAAAAGTACTCAGAATTGACTTGATATATAATGTAATAAAATATAATCGGTTAGCTGCATTTAGCAATTATTTTTTTTAAAGATAGTTGATTATAGTCAAAATATATAGCTGACATGACATTAGTGAATTGAGAATTGGTAGCAGCTAGCACTCGTACTATTTCGGCAAGATCAGTTGTTGTCCACCTTTTTTTGATCAAGGACCACTATGATGTTTTTATTTTTAGTAGGGACCACAAAGTTTTAGAACAATTAACGATATATATATTTTAGTATGTTTTATGCATCTCTGGTATAATGAATTGTGTAAGAGCATAGATATATTATATAGGGTTTATAACCTATATATAGAATGTCTTGGATAATATTTGGACCTCTCAACTACAAGCTATGTATCCATACCTGTAAAATAGATTCACGGACTATTTTTAATCATTTCGCGGACTACCGGTTAGGAACCACTGGTCTTGATGCATCCATTTTCTGAATAGCTTAGACTCTCCAACCTCGATGCATTTAATGACGGTACGAATAGAAAATTGCCTATGTATATCGAGGTTTCAGTCATATCAATGAATATATTCCGTAAGATTCAAATTTTTGGAGTTTCTTAAGTATGGATTTAGTTGTCTACTGAAGGTGTCATGATTATACAGCAAACATAGTCTGATGGCTTGCTTAGAGATAAACATTTTATTCTGGTTCAACGGGTTTTGCTTTTAAAAAAGTGTTGAACTTAATTCAGATAACTACTTCATTTAAAAAGTATTACAATGTAAAGAAAATTGGAAAATCGAAACAAATATGTAAAATACATATTTTACAATTTTATTAGAATTAAAGAATAATTAAAAACGGGCATAAAAGGTGTTCTATCGCCATCAGCTGGTACAAAATGGAACGTAAAAAATGGAAATAGTAATTTTCAAAATGGAAATAGTGTGGATATAGTGTGGAACCTACGCATGGGAGCAGCAGATACGATATCGATAAAGGGATGAGGATGGACCTGATGAGAAATACTGTTGCAGCACACCAATTGTGTAAAAAAAATTAATTTAAGAGATCGAATTTTCTTTTTTCAAACTGAGATATCATCTGAGATCGTCATAAAAAATGTATTGTATATGATACTGTATGCAAACGATTTTGATTAAATAGCGGTATTGACTAACATCAGCGTAAAAAGCGTTTCCAGCTACCACTGTCTGGATAAAGGACTCTCAGGAAAGAGGTAAGTATATTCCTGGGGTAAAGCAGGGTTGTCGTAAGAGATGAATGAAATCCAGTGGGCACTGCTTGAAATTCCATGGAGCAAATATATAAACTAATTATATATAAATATAAATGGTAGTCAATACTTTTTTCCCAACCTAATCTTAAACGTATATATAATTAATTAATTATATTAATTATATTTTTGGTACATATATTGTTTGATAATAATATGTAGCTATATATGGTAGTCATATGAATTACGTTTAAAATCGTTGACTTAAGCCTTGAAGGTGTAATATTTTGCAATTGTTTAATTAAATATTCGTACACTTCTCTGGGTATAGACATGAGCTCTTTAATATAAATTCTTCTATTGAGTTTATTTTTTTTAAAATTGGTTTCATATTTTTGCTTATTAAATTTTTTTAAATAATTTTATTTTTATTTATTCATGTTTTATGATTGAAGTGCAAAGACATATTTATTTTCAAGCAAACGAAAATGTTTATGTTGAAATGTTTATTATTTTTAAGAATACGAAAATAATTTTCTAGAATGTGATTGCAGAAATAAGTGAAATGAAGTAACAATTTAAAAATGTCAACAATTTAGAGAATAAAATTTGCTATGACAACAAAATTAAATTATAGCTTTTTAAATTTATAAACTTCAACTAAAATGTAAATAAAGCTTAGCAAAATAAATATTTTGCAAAAATGTATATAATTCTTTTGGAGATGTCGTGTGGAAGTACCTCATCTACAAAAAACTAAACTAAACAAAACGATTTTAAGATGTTTGCAAAATGTTTGTGGTTAATTTCATGCAAATTACTGTGTTGTCACTTATGACACAAAATTATTTATATATGTGAATCAAGCGTATATCACATCGTATCATATTCCCAATACCCATTCTTCAAGCGAAATAAGATTATATGCCTTGAACAACAATATTAATCATTATCATTATTATAACCAGAGTTCGATTTTGACTTCCTTCAAAGAGTATTCCATTTCTCTACTCTCCTCTACTGGAATCCAAAGTTACTGATTTGTGTCTAAGTTTAAGTTTCGAACAGACATGGGCTGTCACCCCCCTACAGCTTACTACAAAATCTGGTATGAAAGTATATTCGAGTAGGCTTCTCTTCACACATACGAGCTAGTTGAACCACCCACTGGAGTCTCCCCACCTTAATTTAGGTAGCTATATCTCTTTCAAGGTAGATTGCATACATTTCGTAGTTGTAGCGTATCCGAAATCGATCGAACTTGATTTGCTAAACAAGGTGTACGTAAACCATTTGAAATAAACAAAATATCGGTTAAATCAAAAAAAAATTCCTCAAAGCGACTACTGTGTGTAGAAAATAATAGCCTATCAAGTTTTGATTAAAAATTTGGGCTTATGGAATGCCCTGATGCGCCTCGTCCCACACATTGCGACAAACAAGCAAAAAGGTTGTTCCGAAGATTTGAGTCCAAAATGCTTGCCCTTTGTAATTTGTAATAAAACCTGGTATATTTGCAATGTCAAAAGCGTGAAAGTCAACAAAAAACGCAACTTCCATTAAATGAAATAAAATTTCGCTATTAGAGAAGTAAAATCAAAAGAAACCTGATCCTTTTTTTTAATTTTTTGATTTAGTGAATTCGTTTTAGAGGGACAGGCAGTGAATGCAGAATATTATCTGGAAGTTCTATAATAAATGATGACTCAAAATTCGATGAGAACAACCAAAATATCAAAGGACAGGCAATTAAAAAAGTATTTAGGTAGAAAAATTAAGCTTCTAAGATTTGATTAGGCCCAATGAATTGATATTTTTGCTTGTAATCATATGTCATTTATTTATAATCGTATTTATTAAACTTTTCGAAGGTAAGAAACAAATAATTGGATATAAGTAATCCTTCAAAGATCCTTGTAAAAAATAAACCAAAATTATATCTTACTTTACTTTGCTTCATAGAACGTAAATAGTATTGAAGAACTATTTAATTCCCAAGGTAATTTGATGCGTTGGTCTCAAATTTGTTTGAATTTAAAATATTTCTACTAAGTTTTGACTGTGACATATATCTTGCATGCAACAACCTTAAGTATAAATTGACATGTAAAACAATAGAGAAGTGAAATATTTTTACCTATACCAGTACGTGTTTCAAACAATAGTAGCATATTTTTATTTCATACAAAAGCTAGCTAAAAAGCCTTTAATTTTTAATGTGAAAACATATCAAATAAATAAAAAAATTAATTTTTATACACCATTTTCTAATTTTAATTGACCTAAACAATTCAATTCTTTCACGGTGAGTATAAATATTTATACTAAAAAGTTAAGTTTGAAAAAAAATATAAAGTGAGTCATGTTAGGGCGGGATTGTTTATTTGCATTTCGTGAGATGAAACTTATAATTTATATATATTATAAGGAAAATAGTTAATAATTAATAATTAAAGTTTTTTTTTAATATTTGGTTGCTGAAATCAGTAGCAACCTATTTAGTACACATGCAAAAATTGCTTCGATTTTACTAACGATATTTTAATTGTTATAATAGAAATGTTACAGATATATTTTATTTTCAAACATATCTATGTAGTCTTCAAAATTGTGAAAATAAACAGAGCTATTTATATTTTAAACAAATGCTATAAATTTCAATACAATAAAGTAAGTATACAGCATATACATCATCTTTATTTCTTTTTTTTTGGATCTGCTGGGATTTGTTTTCTAGCGGATTTTAATGGCACTCATATTTATGATTTAAAAGATATTGTATCAATTTAACCAATTTATTTTCTTTAAGATTTTTGTGAAATTTCAGATATCACTTTCTGATTGTTTCTCGAGATTCTCAAAAGAAGATTTTTTCAAAAACCTACTGCTTGTCTAGTTTGAACATCTAACATAATATACAATAGATGAGAACTTAATAATTCTCTCCTTTTTTATTGCTAAACGCTGCAAAAAAAAGTCATATCCATTTTCAAGTTTCTATGCTTAACTATTAAGTTAAGACCGATTAGAGAGGATATAACAATATTTTATATCGAACTTTTCAAATTAATTAAATTCCAAGCTCTAGATCAGGTTATAATATTA